CTGGCTGAAGGAGAGAAGCCAGAGAGTTGTAGTCTATGGGGCGGAGTCTAGTTGGAGGCCTGTAACTAGTGGAGTGCCTCAAGGGTCAGTACCGGGACCAGTATTATTTAATATATTCATCAATTATTTAGATGAGGGAATTGAGTGTACTATCAGCAAGTTTGCTGATGACACTAAGCTGGGAGGAGTGGCTGACACGCCAGAAGGCTGTGCTGCCATCCAGCGAGACCTGGATAGGCTGGAGAGTTGGGCAGGGAATGACTTGATGAAATATAACAAGGGGAAGTGTAGAGTCCTGCATCTGGGCAGGAACAACCCCAGGTTCCAGTATAGGTTGGGGAACGACCTGTTAGAGAGCAGTGTAGGGGAGAGGGACCTGGGGGTCCTAGTGGACGACAGGATGACCATCAGCCAACACTGTGCCCTTGTGTTCAAGAAGGCCAATGGCATCCTGGGGTGTATTAGAAGGGGGGTGGTTAGTAGATCGAGAGAGGTCCTCCTTCCCCTCTACTCTGCCCTGGTGAGACCGCATCTGGAATATTGTGTCCAGTTCTGGGCCCCTCAGTTCAAGAAGGACAGGGAGCTGCTGGAGAGAGTCCAGCGCAGGGCAACTAAGATGATTAAGGGAGTGGAGCATCTCCCTTATGAGGAAAGACTGAGGGAGCTGGGTCTCTATAGTTTAGAGAAGAGGAGACTGAGGGGTGACCTTATTAGTGTATATAAATATATAAAGGGGGAGTGTCACAAGGATGGAGCCAGGCTCTACTCAGTGGCAAACAATGATAGGACAAGGGGTAATGGGTACAAACTGGAACACAAGAGGTTCCACTTAAACTTGAGAAGAAACTTATTCTCAGTGAGGGTGGCGGAACACTGGAACAGGCTGCCCAGGGAGGTTGTGGAGTCTCCTTCCCTGGAGACATTCAAAACCTGCCGGGACACGTTCCTGTGTAACATTACCTAGGTGTTCCTGCTCCAGCAGGGGGATTGAACTAGATGATCTTTTGAGGTCCCTTCCAATCTCTAGCATACTGTGATACTGTGATACTGTAATCCTTAAAACCTTTGCATGTGGCTTGCATGTGGATAACGTGTAGTGAATCAGAGAACCTATTGGGTAGATGGAATTATCTGTCAAACAGTAGTAAGTGCTTGGGTTTAAAATTCAAGGGTTTTTATTTTGACAATATACTGATTGTAATAAATGGCATTTACCATGTTATTTCACTCTGTGCTGAAAGCATTTATAACAAAATACATTCTTACTGCTAAATGGGGGATTTGAAGGTATTTGCAGTAAGTGTAGGGTGGCAGTCCCCCAGGCTGCCTCTCGGGCACTCATTTTGAACAATCCAGTCTAGACTTGGAGATGATACAGCAAACTTTTCCTTACAGAGCTCCTCAGGACTTCAAAAGTAGAAGTATGGGAAAGAATACTCAACTGTTCATGTAACAGTGTAATCCTGTAAAGCAGCAGTGGGCTGTAAATTGGTAGGCTGCAGTAAGATTGCAGGACCTAGTCCTTAGATATTTTGCTTTCTTAACCTGAAAATAAAGGTACATGTATCCAGTAGCCCTGTTTAATAGCTGAAGTCCAGTTGCCTTAGGACCTAACGATCCGGAAGGGTCTTACTGATGTCCAGTGGACAGATAATAAAAGATGTTTGTACACTGCCATGCAGGCACGTCTCATCTCTGCCATGAAAGATGCTGCTGATGTGCACAAACAGCAATGTCTGATACTTGATATTTTGGAAGACTACAGTAGATATGACAAAATGTTCCCTGCTGCCCTGCTGAAGAGATTCATCACGTGAAACAAAACAAGATGCACTGTGTTTAACAGAACGGTGTTAGCCACAAAGTTCGTGTGTCTATATATGTGTATGTACACACATGGAGTCATATATTAAATATATATGTTTGGGCTGAAAATATAATTGTTCATATTCTCTGACTTCTAAATGCAGAAGATGGAACCAAGTTTTCTAACATTTTGAAACTGATAATAGAAATTCACTAAGGTAAAGAAGCTATATATTAAGACAAAGAAGCTTGAAGAAAAAGAAAAAGTTAGTATAAAAATTGTAAGGTCAGTTAGTTAATTAAGCAACTTCCTCACTGCTTATCTAGGCCAAAGCCAATAGGGACTGATTATGGGCTAAAGATAAAGATTGCCATGGAAGTACTGCTCATACTCCAAGAGAAAGAAAGGATAAAAAAGTTCAACCTAGAGGAAGACTTTGAGCCTTCATCCTCATGACCACCATCCACCACCACCAGGGGACAGTGCGCATGCTCAAGGAGGAGTAGCCGAGCTCCAAGAAGGTCCCCTCCTCTTCTCAGGAATCTTATGAACATGTCTATCTACTAACATGAATTTGTGACAAGCTGGACAGCGAGCATGCATGTTAGGAGCAGCAATCCCCCAGGCACCCAGCCTGAATAAACGAATACCTACTTAATAGTTACACAGACTATTGAGACAAGGAGGCACAGAAGTACAAAATGTAATCAGTTCTAAGTAACAATTAAGTTTGATGGCTTTGTAATAGAAAATAACTGCGGTGCTTGGAGGTAGTTGACATAGTTTCAGGCCCTCAGGGCCTCAGTACAAAAGGTGTGAGAAAAGCAGACTAGAAAGACAGGACCTGGGATGGGGAGTATCCCGGACTAGCAGATGTCCAGGATGAGAGCATTTAGCTGATAAGTAGAAGGCCAGGATGATTGCTATGTCTGTAATGTTAATTAAGCTTGTTGGGAAAAGTAAACGACCCTTAAAGACCACCACATTTTGTATGCATGCCGGAAACTTTTTGGAAAAATGATGTAATATGCTCAGTGACCATATAAGGATGACCTGTATAGCAATTCGGGGACACACGTTAGGAGGAGCTATCCCCCGTGTCTCCCGGCGCCGCAATAAAGAATACCTGCTTGTCAACTTGAAACTCTGTTGGCAAGTTTGTTCCTGGAGTTTTCTCCGAATCACTATCGAGCATTCTTTATGATGCTTTTCTCGGCATCACTTCGCAAGAACTATTAAGGTGTTCCAAAGTGAACTGCTTTCATTGTAATATTAAAAATCACAGCTGATACAGAGGGTTGTACAAGGGGGTTGTACAGGGGGGTTGTACAAGGGGGTTAGAGGAATTTGTTTAAACAAAAGGACTATCTGTTGTAAATGCCTGCTAAGCAGAACAGAGACCTCCGGTCCTGTTAATAAGCAGACGCCTGAATCTACCGATAAAGGGGAGAAGCAGAGGATTTACGGCTGGGACACTGATCAAACTCTACCGATAAAGGGGAGAAGTAGAGGATTTACCGCTGGGACACGGACCAAACTCTAAGGCCACACATAAAGACTAAAAAGGTGAAAAGTGCAAGAAGAGGAAGACTCATTTACTTCATCTTGAAGACCCCTACCCAGAGGAGGAAGACTCATTTACTTCATCTTGAGACCCCTGCCCATGACCAGAGGGGGCACTGCGCAGGCGCAGAGGACCTTCTGGCTCATTATCATACGAAGCGGGGATAGGACATGAATATGTATAGGTGTATCGTGCAACCTTATGAATATATATAACTTTAGAGAATAAATGTACAGGGAAACAACACTGAGGTACGCATGACTTTGAGGAATTATCCCCGTGCGTCTCAGCGCTGAATAAAAAGCATACCTACTTTAACGAGCTGTGGAGTCAATCCGCGCATCACAGCCACAGGTCAAAAAGACCCGGCTTAGGTGAAGACCCCTCCTCTGAGCATGTAGAGTGATTAGAAGGAATGATACAGTAAATATTATATGTAGGTTACAACCAATCCTTGTACCTTTTGCGTCTCAATGTAACGAGGAAGCCGGCGTTGGTGTGCCTGATGTGTGGAACAGGCCCCGAGCGCCCAGCCTGAATAACCCCGGGATGTCTCGTGCTGCGGTTTTCCTGCACGCCGGACACGGATCCGCTTTTCGAACACGTGGACACCCCCACACACACCGCCGCCACCTCAAGAGGCACCCCAGGGCGGACCGGGCGCTCTCCAGGGCCGAATCCGCCCGGCGCCGCAGCAGGGCCCGGCGGGGCCATGAGGCGGCAAGGCGGGGACGGGAACCGGAATGGGAACGGAGCGAATTCAGGATGACCGCCCCTTCCCGCTTGCCTCGGCTGTGCTCGGCTGAGTTCGGCTCTGCTCAGCTCGGCTCGGCTGTGCTCGGCTCGGCTGGGTTCCGTTCGGCTCGGTTCGGCTGTGCTCGGCTGGGTTCCGTTCGGTTCAGTTCGGTTCGGCTCGGCTCGACTCAGCTGGGTTCGGCTATGTTCCGCTCGGCAGCTGAGGAGAGAGTCCAGGCCAGGTTCAGCCCCGCCCGGGAGCCACCGGCTGCCCCGCCCCCCCCCGCCCCGGCCACTGGCGGAGCTGCAGGTTTCCGTAGGCAGGGACGGGGCAGCCGCTGCTGTGCCAGCACCTCAGCACCCTCACAGGAAAGAGTTTACTCCTTAGAGCCAACCTGAACTTCCCCTGTTTCGGTCTGAACCCACCACCCCGTGTCCTATCGCTACAGTCCCTGATGAAGAGTCCCTCCCCAGCATCCCTGTAGCTCCTTTCAGGTACACTGCCCCCATCCCTGGCAGCGTTCAAGGCCAGGTTGGACACAGGGACTTGGAGCAAGCTGCTCTAGTGGAAGGTGTCGCTGCCCGTAGCAGGGGTTGGAGCTGGAGGAGCTTTAAGGTCCCTTCCAACACAAACCAGTCTGGGATTCTCTTATCTCACCTTCAATAATGTGCTTCAGCAAGCATTTCCTCATGCATCCCAGCTCCCCAGTTTGGGCATGGAGAGCTGGGGCAAGAGCTGGCCTGGGACTAACACACTTTGCTTTTCGGGACAGCGCGGGGTAGCCTGTTCCCACCCAGCCAGGGCAGTGGCATGCGAAGCACTCACCCGATGATCTTGGTAAAGAAGCAACAGCTGCAGGGGCCCTTCTGCTGCCTGGGGAGCTGGGACCGCACCAGCAGCCAACCAGGAGCTAAATTTAAACCCATGGGTTGTGTGTTTGTACAGCCCCCCCTGTGTCCCTGGTGCAGAGAGCTCTGTACCGGTGCTGCAGGAAGGGGGATCCAGAGGAGCTCCAGCTCCTGGGACCCAGGGAAGGGGGGCTCAGCCGTGGGGCAGGAGGGGCAGAAACAGCTAGGAAAGGAACACCATGGAGCCTGCTTCTCCCCAGGATGATGTGAAGAAGAGGCAACAGAAGGAGAAGTCCAAGAAACCGGTGCCACCAGTGGCCCCACGGCCAGCCCGCGCTCTGTTCTGCTTAACCCTGCAAAACCCGCTGCGGAAGGCGTGCATCAGCATCGTGGAGTGGAAGTATCCTTCTGCTTGTGAGGGCTTGGAAGTACTCGTGTCGGGGGGAAGCTGGGGCTGAGTAGCAGGTGAGGCCATGGGGACCTTCAGTGGGGTGCTGTGGGGAAAGGCTGAGTGCAAAAGGGGCTTGAGGGAGTGAGTGAATGTGTTTTGTGCTGGCTGGAGCTGTGCTGGGGAGAGCCTGAGGGAGGGGAGAGGGTTTAGGTGTGAGGAGGAGGTACGGTGTCCATCCCAGCATGGGGATAGGGCCATGCAGAGGAAGGGGGGCCTGGCTGGGGCAGTGGGAGCTGGGGACAGAGCTGGGGACAACCAGCTGCCCCAGGGGAGAGGTTTTGGATGGGTACTGAGATCATGGTAAGCTGTGGAAGGGCTCTTTGTGTGTGTCACTACTGATCCCAGAGCTGCTCCCTGTCCTGGGGAGGCTGGACAGCATTCCCTGAATCCTAGTGACACCACTGTCTTCTCAGCCTCCCATTTCCCAGCCCTCCTTGGCACTGCGGTCACAGGTGAGTGATACTCTTTGGAGGGACAGTATCTCTCTTGCCTCTGGTTCAATTTAGGGATGGAGTTTGGGTGGTTGCTCTTTCATTGGCATCTTTTCACTGGGGTATTATAGGAATACCAAAATGTCACCCTTCTGCCACCCAGCCAGGCACTATTTTAGGCCATTTGATACTGCTTTGTTAACCTGTATTTTATGGAAAGGAAGAGGATGGGAGACGAAGCCTTTCACTTTGGCTTCAGGAAAACATTTGGGCTCAAGGAAGAAAAATGGAATTTAGAGATGTTTTCAGCAAATCCTGTTCTTCCACCCCAACTTCTCTCGTTTCAGTTGCTGAACCTATCTGCATGTTCATGGCCAGATCATCCCAGCCCTGGCCAGGCTTTGCTCTTTTCAGGCTGGCTGTGTTGCTGGCCATGTAGTGCAGCCATGGAAGCACCAAACTCATGTCCCTACGCTGCCAGAGATGACATCCTGTTGAAAGCCTGGGGTGCCCATTTGCAGGGTCTCAGGACATGCTCACACTTGTGGTGGTGCTGTGCTGGTCATGGAGTTTGAGCCCTTGTTTCTTCACTTCAAAGGGTCTCTCTGTCCTTAGAGAAGAGGGAGCAGAGCTAAGATGGGTGAATTCTCTGTCTCTGCTTCTGTGGCTTGAGGACTGCGTTGTTCTACAGGCACATGGAAGGCTCTGTACCTTAATAATCTGTGTCTGTGCCTTAAATAGGCACTGAGTAGGGAAGAAATTTGTGCATACACCCTAGTGTCAGGGAAAGAGCTGGAAATAGGGCTTGCATCTCCCAACATGCTCAAACACATTCCTCATCCTGAGTCAACACATGCCAGAGAGAGTGCGCAGCACTGTGGGGGTCTTTGTTTCCCACACTGGTGGCCTGGAAGGAGAATATGGAAGGGAGAGGTTGAGCGTCCCACCAGGAAGGGTGCAGGTGCAGGGGATCCTGACGCTGGCAGACAAATAATCCAGGGCGTTGGGTTTCTCCAGTGCCTGCTGTATTTATACCCACATGCACCAAGCTGGCCTCATCTCATTCAGGGATTAGGGTCTGCAAGGCATGACGGGGTTGTTCCAGTTCCTGTGGTCTTCAGGCAAGCTGCCAAGGAGAGATTAGCTGTGAGCATTTCTGTGGGATACCTGGCATCTGGGGTCAGTATGGCAGGAGATATTCCTGCTCCTTGGGTTCATCTTTGCTGTGTAACTGCTGTTGGAGCACAAAGCTGAGCCACATGAGTGGGACAGGATCTTGTCCAAGCAGTTGGAGAGTGGAGAATATCACTGCACTCAGCCTGGGGTGGGTGAAAGTCAGGCTGGCTTGAAGCAGAGGGGGGTTTATGCTGAAATTTGCTCACATCTCAAGCCCCACATTTGTTAGCACAAGGAAATTGGGTGCTCTGCATGTTGGTGGGTGTTGTGTCCTCAGTAGCTAGCCCAGCAAGTTGATGGGATATGTCTAGCTTTGAGGTCTCCCTCCCAGTATGTCAGGGTGCTTTGCAGCTTGGAGGACTTCAAGGCAAATGAATGGGGAGTTTGAGGTCCCTGGAGGACCACAGAGATGCAAGGTGCTGAGGAGCTCATTTGTGCTGCAGGGCAGACATTGGCACCCTTGGATGCTGGAGAGGAAGTAGTGAGATTGCAGGGTAAGGAGATGTGGAGGATGCTGAGGCTCTGGCTCAGAGGCAGAAGTACCATCCACAGTGACACTATGTGCCTCTTTATCTGTCCCACTGCATTTCCACCTACTAACAGTGCCAGACTCACAAATAACAAGCTTATTTCAGCTCCAGTTTACAAGACAGGTTGCCCTTCAAGGAGGGTTCATCTCATCCTGTTGGAGCAGGCAGGGAAGACTCTAACCCCTGAGCTCTGCTCTGTTACCTGCAACAGCTTTTCCAGCTGACTTTAGTGTTGAAGTGTCATCAAGTTGATGGATAGAAGTGTCCAGAAAAGGCAAAATAACCTGTAACTGACTGCACTCAGCCGGTGTGGAGACAGGATGCCCTAGGTGTCCTGTGATACTGGTTTGGATAGTGGAATGGCCACCACAGCTCAAGGCAGGGCTCAGCATACTTATCTGGAAAGCTGAGCTAAGGAGTTGGTTAACCATGGTGTAAGGAAGTGTCAGCATGGCTGCAGAGACCCTCTGCTGGGGAGAATTTGGAGGGTTGTGCTGGTGGCATTAATCTACATGGTTGTGCCCTGAATGTCCCCACAGAGCATGTCCATGGGAGCTGTTCTCCTTTGGAAGGTCTGCCCAAAGTGAGATGGGGGTGTTGGAAAATCCTTGTCCTGGAACCTCCTTACCTGCTGGGTGAGATTTATCACTTTGCCTTTGGTGGCAGGTTGGTCTTTACAGGGAGGAGAGATCTCCGAACAACTGATGAGGGTATTTGCTGGCTGTGGTCACAGTGTGTGGGTGTTTTCAGGTAGAACTGGAGAGCAGAAGAGGCTGGAGGAGAATGTGCTGATTTATGTCACTGTTTATTCATTTACTCTTCAGGTTGGTCTGGCCCAATGCGCAGCTGCACCAACATTTTCATTTCCTCCATCTGCTTTTAGTGTCAGTGGCTTCCAGGGGTACTGGCAAGGCAAGAAGATCAGGATAACTGGGATGTACTGGTCAGGAAACATTACTGGCCAGGAAACTTTAAGATTGTGACCAAAATGTTTCATAGAGGTTTTGGACTCATGCTGTCACTGTGGCAGTATGAGGCCACTAAATGAGTGAAAGATACCCCTTTGCTCATAGGTGTGTGCATAGCTGCATGGTGTGGTGGCTACACACAAGCACTTCAGAGCTGCAACAGGGCCTGGATGTGACCAGCATAAGGTCAAATAGCAAGAAATGATGGTTGTCCTCTTCTGACCACTCTGCTGCACTCCCAGGGCACCACAGGTTTGGACCATGCTGAGAGAAACAGAGTGGAGCCCCTAGGCTGAGAGCCTGGCCATGGGTGAGGTGCTGGAGCTCTCTGGGGCTTCAGGAACGTGATAGCTGAAGCTTGACCATGAGGGTTTGGTGGCCCAGCAGAGCAGTGACAGCAGCAGGAGCCTGGGACTGACCAGATGCCCATTCTAGGGCCTTCAGGGGGAAATAGAAACTCACCCCATTTATTCAGAGGTGTCATAAGGCCCAAATAGCACAATTCCACCTTCTAGGGAGAGGGATGGAGCTCAGGCTGAGCACTATGGTAACTTGCAGCCCATGGCACTCCTGAGGAGAGTCACTCAACAGTCACCCTCACAGAGAACAGAGGGAGCCAGGGCCAGCACTCTGCAAAGGGTGATGCTTTGCTGAAGTGTCTACATTATGCAAGAAGGTCCTCACCCTTTAGGATGATTTGCTGAAGGATGAAGAGGGGGGCACTACCAGTTCTCCCATCCCCTTGTTGTTTCTCTGCTGTAGTCTTTTGATTGATGCCCCCTTCCCATATATCCTGTGCCAAAGCTGCCCCTCTCCGGAAGCCATGTGCTCAGTGTCCAGGCTCTGCATCTCATCAAGCTCATTGCCTCCTTCCCTTGGGGCCCAAGACATGGGCAGCAACTGAGGACGTGCAGAGGGTGAAGTTTGACTGCTCCCTCTGGAACCCAGGGGGAGGTTGTTTCCCCATAGCCAGTGAGGTTTCCCCATACATACCCAGACAGAACAGGGCTTTTTCTCCCTGTCTTCACTCCTTAATGCTTCCTCTTAGACCCTTCGAGATCATCATCCTCCTGACCATATTTGCCAACTGTGTTGCACTGGCCATCTACCTGCCGATGCCTGAGGATGACACCAACATTGCCAACTCCAGCCTGGTAAGACACAGCCCTTCCCACTGTCCTGCTGGACAGCCAAGTGCTCAGCTCTGAGGGCTCTGCAGAGCTGGTCACTGTACGGCCTAGCATCATAGAATCCCAGACTGGTTTGTGTTGGAAGGGACCTCAAAGCTCATCCAGTTCCAACCCGCTGTCACAAGCAGGGACACCTTCCACTAGAGCAGCTTGCTCCAAGACCTGTCCAACCTGGCCTTGAACACTGCCAGGGATGAGGTATCATGGGTGCAAGATAGTACTACCTGTTGTAGGGGCATTTGCTGCTGCCCCTTGGGGTGTATTAAGGCATTGTTGGTCTAGTGAGAGATGCTGCGAAATCAGAGGGAGGCAGATTGCTGGAGAAACCTCTGCAAAATGCATTTTCAGCATGCTGAAACCACCCCTAGGTTGAGCTCAAAGGCAGCAGGTTGGGATGTGAAGTACACAGGAAGGAAGAACTGATGCCAAAAAAGAACAAATTCCCTCATTTTTTTTTTTTTTATGGTGACACTTCCAAAAGGAAAAATCCTGTTTCAGAGAGGCTCAAATGGTTTGTTTCAGCAGGTCTGGAACAAAATTTTCTGACCTTTCATTTTCAAACTGTATTTTAATTTTGGTAATTCTTATTTAAGAGGGGGAAACTTCATCCTTTTTAAGCACAAAGGTTGCTCCTTTCCAATCAGTTATTCCGTTTTTTGCCAGTCACTTTGTTTTCCTTGGAACAAGATGTTTTGATGTGATCCAAATCAATCTGTTGCACTGTTTTTATTTTGCCACTCCTTTTCCCTCTTCAGATCCCCATTGTGGTTCAATCCACACTGATTTTCATTGAGAGTTTGAGATTAGTGTCTGAATCCAAGTGAATCCTCAGTGGTGGGGTGAGAGGTGTGTGCCAGTGTTGCTGGTGACTTGTGACTTAAAGAAGTACCTGGTTTTTGCCTGTTCTTTAGAGACTGCAGGGAAAGATGTTAAAGCAAAGAATCTGAGATGCAAAATACAAAGGTTTTACTTGTGATTTTCAGCTCCTTGAGCCACTTTTATCTCTTTCCCTCAACAGTCTTTTAGTGGCAGTGAAGATAGTTTTTACTTCTCATTTCCTTGGAAAAAGAAGGGGTGTCACTGTTGGCAATGTGTTGTTAGGGCTTTTAGAACTAAAAGCAAAATAGGTCCACAGAGGACCTATAATTCCCTCCCACAGAGGAGGGGAATTAAACATACCCACAGAGAGTTAATTCCTGGGGTGTTCACTCAGCCTCTGGTGTGCTGGGTTTGGTTTCTTCCCTGGCAAGGGGGCACAGCAGGGTTTGAAGGGTGCAGTTATCCCTAAAGAAGCAAAGAAAAAACAACTGGAGCAGGTTGAGCATGGAAAGCAGGAGGTGAGGACAGCAGGGATGGAGGCTTCTCACTGGGAAGGAGTTTGGGATTTGGCTGAGACCGGGATGCAAGGGCAGAGCTGCAGCATGTGGCAGTGTGGCGTGACAGGGAGGCAACCTGGCAGCAATTCGCCTTGTGGTGTTACCAGACGGGGAATGATGCTGTCCAGAAAGGACCCATTGATGGGAGACAGGCGGGTGTGAGCTGCATAATGTCATATATAACTGGAATTGCATCTTATTTATATTCATTAGATTATTTCGGCTGTGTCCAATTGGGGGATTTTTCATCCTGTTGCCATGCCAGCAGCCCTTTGGATCAGGAGCCTGGCAGCCTGAGGCTTCTGTTCTTTCATCCCTGCTCTGCATGTCACTGCCATCAAGTTCTGGTGGCTTTGCAGGAGCAATCCCAGCTTAGAACTGAACCAGAGCCCCATCATCTTGTGCTTTGGGCTCTGCATGGAGCCTGCAAATAGTGCAACAAAGGCTTGTTGGAGATGCTGCAATGCATTTTGTCTCTCCCTGTCACTTTTGTAGTTGCCTCTTTTCATTGCCCAGTTCTCTCTGGAGAGAATTGAGTTTATCTACTAAGGACCTTGAAATTGTTGAAGAGGGGAAACTGAGTCAGAGCACTTTGGCCAGGCTGGGAGGCTTTATTCAAGTCCCACTCCCTCTGTTACCTGTGAGGATACACTAGAGACATCCCAGATTGGTTTGTGTTGGAAGGAACCTTAAAGCTCCTCCAGCTCCAACCCCCTGCCACAGGCAGGGAGGCCTTCCACTAGAGCAGCTTGCTCCAAGCCCCATCTAACCTGGATATGGGGCTCATTCTGCACAGCCCTGCATGACTGTGGGCCCTGGAAGCTGACACTGCTGAGCAGGCTGGAGCTGTATCCTGTCACATTGCTCTGACATGGTGCACGCTGTTATTCCTGCTGCTCCGCGGCTCACTCAGCACCCGCAGGTCAAGTTACTCTGTGTCCCCTAACATCGTTGAAGTATATGTGTGTGTAGCAGCCTGTTGTGTTACAAAGACCTCCATCTTTTTATAGTGGCTTTTTGAAGACTGGGCTGTTCACACACCCAATCCCAGATGTACCAGGCAGCCCTGCCTCCCTTCACTGATCAGCCTCCCACCAGGGAAGAAAGATGGGGGTGATGTGGCTTCCCTGGCAGTGTTCAAGGCCAGGTTGGACACAGGGGCTTGGAGCAACCTGCTGTAGGTGTCCCTGCCTGTGGCAGAGGTTGGAACAGGATGAGCTTTAAGGTCCTTTCAAAGCAAACCACTCTGTGATTCCATGATGCTCAAATCAAGCTGGGCATATGAAGTGGGTCTGCACGATGTGCAGGACATGCAGTCCTTGACCTGGTATAAAGTCTGCCAGGACAAAATACCCCTTAATTTCTTTCTGCTGGTAGCTGGAGGTGGCAGCAAGTTTTCAGGGGGCTCCCCCATGTCTTCTGCATTTACAGCATGGGAGATACCCCACCACAACACTGGCTGCTGGTGTGGCTCTGCAGTGCCTCTGTACATGAAATGATCCTCACAATAGTTGTGTTTTCGTGTCTGGGATTGCAAGGACAGGCTTTTGGGAACAGACTAGGGGGGATCTGTCACTGATAAGTGGGGGAGAGAAGTAGTGTTGAGTTGCCTTTGCTAAAACCTTGAAAACAAAGCCCTGATAACATCGATAATCACAATACTTAGGTCTCAGCTTTTACCATTGCTGCTCTCAGATCCAGCAAGGAACTGGCACTGTTATGGGTGACAGTAATACAGGGACACTTGGCATGGCCACTGTTTTCCAATGTGGTAATAGAGCCAGCAATGCTCCTATCTGAGCCATGGTTTCATAAATGGACAGCATTTTCCATTTGGCAAGCCAGAGGGACCCTGGGAGGAAGGCTTGCTTGGAGCACTCCAGCCTTCCCCATTGGAGGCCTGCTTTCAGTTTGGTCTCAGATGTTTCTGCGTTTCTGGGTTCAGTTCCCTGGAGATCCCAAGCTGGGCTGCTCCTTGTCCTCTGTGGGGTGCGGATGGAGGAGAGGGGCCATGTAAAACCAGCAATATAAATAACCCAGTCCACCTGGCTGCTTCAGAGGGATTTAATTCCAGTCTGGAAAGGGCCGTTAGCAGCAAGGGCAGTGATTGCAGTGACAGACAGAACCAGGTGGGCACAGGCAGCTCTTGGATGGGCTCCAGGGAAGAGTGAGCTATTCCAAACTCCCAGGCCAGCATTAGCAGTTCACTGTGCCTGCCTGGCACTAGGCAGGGCCTCTTGAGCCCTTCCCTGAGAGCCCAGGGCACAAAGGAAGACACAGTGCAGCTAGATTGTTCCCTGGTGACTGTGTGGTGTCTCCAGGACAGACCCAGCAAGCCCTCATCTGGGGAGGATGAGGACAAGGCATCAGTGCTGCCTGAACAAGGAAGGCTGTGGGAGAATGAGAGGATGAGGTAGCAGAGAGGAGAACTAGAGATGTGCAGTGCCCTGGGCCAGCACCTTTGGGTGCTGGGTTGGGAATTGGTGGCTTTACGGGTGTAGTTTGTAAGAACTGGTACCCACAGCCCAGGAGCATGGTCCTGGCACTGAATGGAATCAGATCATGCTGCAGGCCAGAGTGGCATCTGGTGATGTCCTGGCTTCAGCTGTAGCAGTCAGTTTTTTCCTTCTTGGTAGCTGGTGCAGTGCTGTGGTTTTGACTTTAGCATGAAAATGACACTGCTAACACCAATGGTTTTAGTTGTTGCTCAGTAATGTTTACTCCAATCAAGGACTTTCATTCTCATGCTCTGCCTGGGAGGAGGGGCACAAGAAGCCGGGAGGAAGCAGAGACAGGACACCTGAACCAAACTAGCCAAAGGGGTATTTCCCACAGCACGTCATGCCCACTATAGAAACTTGGAGTTACCTGGAAGGCCCAGATCACTGCTCGGGGCGGGCTGGGTATCGTTCGGTGGGTGGTGAGCGATTGTATTGGGCATCCCTTGTGTTTATTGTTTTCTTTTCCCGTTTTAGTTTCATGTTCTCTCCCCTTGTTGTTTCCCTTGTTATTATTGGTGGCAGCAGCAGTGGTTTGTGTTATACCTTAGTTAGTGGTCACTCTTATCTCAGCCCATTGCAGTTACATTCTTTCAATTCTCCTCCCCATCCCTCCAGGAGCAGGGTGGGAAAGGAGGGGAGTGAGCAAGCGGCTGCGTGGTTCTGAGTTTCTGGCTGGGCTCAGACCATGACAGGTGGCCAGGGTATTGCTGCCATGCTGGGGTGGGATCACAGATTGGTGGCAGCAGGGGCTGTTCCAGAGGCAAGGTGGGAGGCAGACATGCTTGGTGGTGATACCAAGGGAGGTGACAGTCTGCTCTAATGGAGCATCCTCTCCCTCTTCCCTTTCCAATCCCTAGGAGAAGATCGAATATGCCTTCCTGATCTTCTTTGCCATTGAGGCCATGCTCAAGATAATTGCCTATGGGTTTCTTTTCCATACGGATGCGTACCTCCGGAATGGCTGGAATGTGCTCGACTTTTCCATCGTGTCTCTAGGGTAATGCAAGGAGAGGAAGCTACTGGTACTCAGCTTGTGTCTGGCCTGGTCCATAGCCGGTCAGCTACATTGATTTTTCTAGTGACTGCAAGTGGGTTTGGGAGCAACTTGTAGGCTCAGTTCATGGTCTTCTCCCATGGGCCCCCTTTTCATGGCCTGACATCCCCTGGGATCCTTGTCTAACTTCCTCTATGACTCCTTCACACCTCTTGGGTCTTCTTGCCCTGGAGAATGAGAGGAGCATGGGGTCCTCCAGGCTGTAGCACACAGGGAGAGGGCATGAGGGGATGGGAGGGTCCCCATGTGCTCAGCAGTGAGGGTGGAACCCAATGAAGGGGTGCCCAGCCACAGTAGTTGAACTTAGCCAAGAGTTCCCACCTAAGCACAGCTGACAGAATCATGTCCCTCACTTTCTTGCCTTCAGAGCTCTGAACCCTCAGCACAGATGTCCTGGTTTCCATCCTCATGCTCTTCTCTTTCTTGTTCTGTTTCCTTCTGCTTCTCCCCCTTCCTTCCCTGCTTTGTGCCCTGGCTCTTTCAGGCTTATCACCATGACCCTGGAGAAGCTCAACGCAAAGGAGGGAGGGTCTTCAGGGGGAAAAGGCGGCTTTGATGTGAAGGCCCTGCGAGCATTTCGTGTGCTGAGACCCCTGCGCCTGGTGTCTGGAGTGCCAAGTGGGTGCTGGGTGCCCTACCAGCATGAATGGATTGAACCCCTGTGCCTGGCCAGGGTTGGGGGCTGAGGGGCACATCTCTTGTTGCTGCTGGATGAAGCCACAGGTTCATGCTTATCCTCAGGTTTTCAAGACTGGGGATCTGCAGGTCGGCACACATATAGCTCCCTCCATGGCTCAGTGTCATCACCTTTGGGTGGCCAGTATGAAAGGGGCCAGGACATCACTCCAGTTTCTCAGGGCAGGAATCTCCTTCTCTCATAACTCACGTGGACACAGCCAGGATGAGACTGATGGGGGGGGGGGGGGGCAGAGGGAGGGGCATGAAGCAGCCTCCAGCCCTGCCTGGACTCTGGCTCTGCTGGGGTCTGCATTGTGGGCAGAGAAAGGATTTCTTGCTTTAGAGATTTCAGTCCCAACCCACGTGTGCCCCTCTTCCCTTGGTGCGGGGCATTTCAGAAGCTGCTTGGCAGAGGGGCTGGTGGGGATATAAACACCCAAAGCTGTTTAGGAAGCAGTCGAGCTCCTCTCTCTTCTCCTTGGTGCAGGTCTTCAGGTCGTCCTGAACTCCATCATCAAGGCTATGGTGCCCCTGCTCCACATTGCCCTGCTGGTCCTCTTCATGATCATCATTTATGCCATTGTTGGGCAAGAGCTCTTCAAGGGAAGGATGCACAAGACCTGCTACTACCTAAGGACAGGTAGGTCTGTGGCAGGATTCAGTATGGCAGAGATGTCTTTGTGTGGCTGCTGTGGGGACCACAAGGGTTCTGTGGGTAGCGGAAAGTCTGGTCTGGCCTGGGAGTGTGGCAGTACTGATGTTTGGTATAGCACACAGCTTGGTGATGGTATGTGGTGTGAGGAGGTGGTGAAAGGGGACCCAGGAGGTGCTGGGACCTGCTCTACTTGACCTGACCTGCAGCTTACACCATGACTTTTCCCCTCAGATGTGATTGCCACAGTGGGATCAGAGAAGCCAGCCCCATGCACCAGCTCTGGCCATGGGCGCCACTGCACCATCAATGGCACTGAGTGCCGAAGCGGGTGGCCAGGGCCCAACAATGGCATCACACACTTCGACAACTTTGGCTTTGCCATGCTGACTGTCTATCAGTGCATCACCATGGAGGGCTGGACAGAAGTCCTCTACTGGGTAAGCTCCAGCAGCTTGGAGTTCATGCTCAGCTCAGCAGAGGTTTTGCCTCAGAATGGGGAATTCCCTCCAGGATACAGGACCCCAGAGCAGGGCTAGGTCTCTGCCAGTGAAAGATCCTGTCCCCACCAAGCATCATTCCATAATGTGCCAAGCAATGTCTCCTCATCTCTGCAGGCACTGCCCAAGCTGTCTTTGCTCTCCAGATGGACGGCAGCAATGCTTCAGCTCTCACCTCTGTGAAGAGGTACAGGCCAGGCACAGCAGTAGCTGGCTGGTGGATGCTCTTCCAGCAAAACCCCATGCTTTACAGTCCTTGGGAAATTGTCTTGCTGAGGCTTAGGCATAGGGCTGATGTTTAAATCTGCTCCCAAAATGCTTGGGTCTGGCTTTACCTCTGCTAAAACCAAATGCAGAGTCCTAAGAAGCCAATGCTCAGGTTTATCTGCTGTCATCCCCAGCACTCCCTTCAAAGGGGACAAAGCTCATAGAGGCTATTGAGGGAGGCTCTATAGTGAGACAGACAGCAACCAGTGTGCTCAGAATGCTTCACCTGCCTCTCTCCTTGCCAGGTAAATGATGCTATTGGGAATGAATGGCCCTGGATCTACTTTGTCAGCCTTATCTTGCTTGGCTCCTTCTTTGTTCTCAACCTAGTGCTGGGGGTGCTCAGTGGGTAAGTGCCACCCTGTCCATTCTCTGTGCCAGTATGATCAGAGTGTGGCCACTGGCTAGTTTTAACTATGCAAGAAGGAAGTCCAGAAAAATTTCTGTTCCTTTTCCACTTACATTCCCCTCCTTCTCCTTCTTTTTTCTTTTTTTTTTTGCATGCTTAGAAAGCCTGAGCTGTGGGTTGAGACCCTCAGTATCACTGGTACCTACAGCGCTGCCATCCTGTTGTGCAGGAAACACCTTTGATATGAATGCAGGGGATTATTGTTAGTGTAATTAATGCTTCCACAGTCTCATCCAAATACAATAATGATCTACCATGTGTCTGGTTACAATGATCCTAAGACTTCTATGCCAAATGACTCAATTAGGGCTAATTCCCACAGTACAGTTAAAGCTGCTCTGCACAAAGTATCGCTGGTGCACTACTCAACCTACTAAGCACTGACGTGGTGAGGTGCCAGCATACTGATTGTGTTACTGGGAAGTGGTGTTATCCTGGGGAGTGAGAGGAGCTTTTCTTCTCAGTTCTGTGTAAGCTCAGGGTCATTTTTATATTTTTCAATCCTGTTTGTGCAAGTGGATCACACTCATCGTCTCTAATACCCTAATTACATGGATTTGTTAGTCCTTTTCTATGGCAAGAACCGTGCAACTGCACAAGATTAAATCAAATTGGGTATTAATATGACTAAAGCAAAGCTCAAAACCACAAGACAGACCACAAGCACCTGCCCCTTGCATGAGGTTGGCTGTTTCAGCAGGATGAGATGGATCACAGTCATCTGATCCTGGAGTAAGTTGTAGGCACAGCAAAGTACCTGATTTTTTATTTTTTTTTTAAATATAGCTAAATTATGCTTGCGATCAAGAAAATCCACAGAAAGTCCTGAAGCTTTGTATGTCTGATTATTGTTACTGGGTCTGAAGCCTATTGCTAATACATGGCAACACCAAACTGGCTGGGTAGCAGCTCTGTAGTCCTGCCAGATACCAGCATTGAAAATAAATTGATTTAAGGAAGAATGAGAAGAGTAGCACACACACCACCACCACCACCCCGCCCCACCCCAGCATTGGCAGACTTGTCTTTTCCATGTTACAATGAAAAAAGTGTCCTGTTTACTTGCCATGTGATGAGCTCACCTTCCCCACCTGGAGAGCTTGGACCAGCTTTCTGTCCCCCAGTGGGTGAGACCCCACTTGCTGTAATTCTTAGCAGGGCTGGAGAACTCCCCCAGCCTCCAATGTCTAGCATTAGTTGGCCTGTCCAACCACAGCATCCTGCAGCAAGGAGCTCCCAAAGATCAGCCAGTGGTGGGGAAGAAACCCTGCCTGCCATCAGGCATCAGGTGGTGATCCCCCGTGATCCTGAATCATGGAACAGGGTCGAGGAAGGTGAAAGTCACTGGAGCAATCTACTGGTAGCACTGGGCTGTGAGATACTCCAGGCTTTTCTCTTTCTCCAAGGCCTGGCACAGGGCTGTGGTATGGAACCTCCACACCACCCCTCTCCTGGTCTCACTCTGCTGCTTGCCTTGTCCCAGCGAGTTCACCAAAGAGCGGGAGAAGGCCAAGTCACGCGGCACGTTTCAGAAACTGCGGGAGAAGCAGCAGTTGGAGGAGGATCTGAAGGGCTACATGGACTGGATCACCCACGCTGAGGTCATGGACAGTGACCGGGCCAGGGGAGAAGGTACCAGCTCTTCTTGGTCATTGAGACCAAGTGCAGGTTGGGTTCCTAACACTGGCCATCCTAGCGAGGCAGGGTAGAGATGTCTGGAGAGCTTACAAAGACTCATTTTGCTTGAAACCCTGTGACAAAAATACTTTGACTTCTGCAGAACAGTTTCCTTCCTCTCTTTTTTTCTTTTTCTTTCCTGCATCATTTTATTGACCCTAACTAACAACAGCTTGGCCCTCATCTCCACCCTACCCACTGTATTTAATATTTGCAGACTTCTAGCAAGACCTAGGTATCCTTTGACAAAATGCACTTGGAAGAGCCATGAGAAGCCATGAGCAGCATGTGCACTTTTGAGTGCAGGGCAGAGAGCTGGGTTACTACTTCCAACACTAACAGATACAGGAATTTCTTGGTGTTGTTTAACGCTTTTAATGGATTAGAAGTGGCTTAGGAAAGAAGGTGAATACACAGGCATCAAGTCAAAGGCTCCACAAGGTCTGGAGTGCTCTGCCACTCTGCCTGGTGAAATAACATTTGATGCCTCAAGCTGAGCAATACATGTGTGCAAAGAGACTCTGGAAACAGTGGGGAAAGATAAAATGCTGTTACAAACTTCCTGTTGTTCAGCATTTGCTCAGATCACAGCTGATCCCAGTTTTCTCTGTGCTGGGAGTATCTCACACTAAAGGAGCCTTTACACACACAGCTGTCTTGTTAGGATGCTTCTCTGGGTTGCTGCTGCTTCTCTTGTTGCAGGGCAGATGTTCCTGGTGCCTCCTACTTGGTTGCACCTGATACTCAGAACTTTCTGCCCAAGCTCTTGCTGCTGTCTCCCTGGGACAGCATTTCTTCATTTCACTTCTGATGGGGAAGCTCATCCTGGTGTGCTCCTGGGAGAGGTTCCCTCCCACATGTTCTTCCCAGCGGCTCCAAGGTAAGCCTGGATGTCATTTCTTCCTTAGGTATGATGCCATTGGATGAAGGAGGGTCAGAGACAGAGAGCTTGTATGAAATTGAGGGCATGAACAAGTGGATTCTCTACTTGTAAGTATGAACTTGCTGAACCATCTGCTGCTCTGCGTGTGGGCTTGCACAGTTTCCCACTTGCTGTCCTGGCTGGGCCAGGCTTTCTTGTCAGCCACTGGCTTCTGGAGGAGACCAGGGGCTGTGTGCTCAGGAGGAAATGCAAAACATGGAATTTTGCTCAGGTACTGGCAAAAAGCCACTTTTCAAGGTGAACAGTCTCTTCACTTTGGTACCAGGCTCCAAGCATCTTCTTGTGGCCCATGCAGCATGTCTTGTGTTTGAGTAGCTGGGCCTGAAGCAGACAACGTGAGGTGACTGTAGGCCAAAAAGGAGTCAGGAGGTGTTTGTGTGAATGAACTACAGTGCCTGGGTGAAGGAACCAAGTGCCAGGGGCAGGGTTATGTTCTTCAGCCCCTTTAGGGAAGCCCTGGAGGAGCGAGCAGGACTTGGTGCAGGCCCTGCTGACCCTTTGGCTTTCCCTGCAGCCGTCAGTGGAGGCGTTGGAACCGAATGTTTCGTAGGAAGTGCAGAGAGGTGGTGAAGTCCAAGTTCTTCTACTGGCTTGTCATCTTGCTGGTGGCCCTGAACACCTTCTCCATTGCCTCCGAGCACCACTTACAGCCAGAATGGCTGACGCAAGTGCAAGGTGAGCAAAAAGCCTGAGGAAGGAGGAGGGCCTGGGACACCCTCCTGAGACACATGTGAACTCTTACTGTGTATGCACAGGGCCTGTTAGATGTACACAGACACAGCGTGTACACAAGCGTGTGTACACCATCCCCACTGCACTGTCACACTTCTTGTTACACATGCACAGCATATTCCTAGGGACATGGATTTGCATGGTGAACACACATAGGATTTACATGCATATTACATGCAAACACACATTGCATGCACTCACACCACACATGATTATGCATACAGTCACACTACCTGCACCCAAACACATGAAAATACACATAGACACATGAGTCCAGCTGTGCACACATGTACACAGCTCAGCCATGCACATACACACATGTGCACTGCCCAATACACATGCATACACTGCATGGACTCACATGCACTGCACTCTGACACGTACAAGCACACAGTGGCTCATTACCCTCCTCCTCATCTCTCTTTCCTGTGTGCTCCCCGAGAAACGTCCCCTATGGAGTTGAGCAGCACTGCCTTCCTTCCCTCCCTGCTGTGCCTTTCTGGGGTGAGGAGGGCCATGCTCTGATGGCCTGTCTCTCCTGCCCCAGACAATGCCAACCGGGTGCTGCTAGCCCTCTTTGTGGCCGAGATGTTGCTGAAGATGTATGCGCTGGGCCTGCGCCAGTACTTCATGTCGCTCTTCAACCGCTTTGACTGCTTCGTGGTGTGTGCAGGGATCCTGGAGACCATCCTGGTGGAGCTCGGTGCCTTGTCACCCCTGGGCATCTCTGTGCTGCGCTGCATCCGGCTCCTCCGTATCTTCAAGATCACCAGGTTGGGCAGAGAGCTCTGTGGGTGCTGGTGGTTCATGGTTCCCAGGCATCACTGATCTTGACGCTGGGGAGGGCTGCAGCATGAGCAGTGCTGGTGGTTTCTGGATGGAGGAACAAGTCCAAGCTGGGGATTTCTGTCTCCAGGACAGGACTTGCTGGAAGTCCCCTGGGATCCCTCTCTTGCTCTGGGTTCTGGGCTGTTGTAAATGGGAATGCTGTAGGTCAGAACTCCAGGCTTCTCTTTCTGGCACCAACCTGCTGTGTGTTCGTCCCTCTTCCCCCATTGCTTGTTGTGCCCTGTGCAGGCATCCTGCCTGTCACACCACATCTGGAGCTTCATTTCCACCTCTTGGGACCTGGCTGAAGCAGTCTTAGTGCCCAGCTTTTGAGTGGTGCTGGTTCAGAGCCACCCTTGCTGGGCTGCCAGCCTATGCCCCTGGGACAAACAGTCCCTGCACCTACCTGGTCCTGCCCACAGTCTTACCAGCTCCTTCACCTCCTGCCTCTCCTCTCCCCAGGTACTGGACATCCCTGAGCAATCTGGTTGCCTCCCTGCTCAACTCGGTCCGCTCTATTGCCTCTTTGCTTCTCCTCCTCTTCCTCTTCATCATCGTCTTCGCACTGCTGGGTATGCAGCTCTTCGGGGGCAAGTTTGACTTTGAGGACATGCAAGTGCGGCGCAGCACATTCGACAACTTCCCCCAGGCCCTCATCAGTGTCTTCCAGGTAGGGGGCTGTGGGAAGTGTAGAGGGAGACTGGAGGACATCTCTCCTGGGCCATGGGTCTCCTGGCAAGAGCTGGGGCTCAGAGAGATATGGTCTTCTGGAAGGTTATGTGGCTTTGGAGTGGGGAAATGTGGGGTCATGAGCAGGTATAGGGCTGAGCAGAGAGGTGGGATTTGGTTTGGCTGTGGATCTGTAGTGGCTGTGAGGGTTTGGTGCTGGAGCCATAAGGGCAGCATCAAGCTGTGGGGGCTCTTGAGTCCCTTTTTCTGCTCTGCTCCCAGATCCTGACTGGGGAGGACTGGAATTCAATCATGTACGATGGAATCATGGCCTATGGCGGCCCATCCTTTCCTGGCATGCTGGTCTGCATCTACTTCATCATCCTCTTTGTCTGCGGGAACTGTATCCTCTGCCTGCCAGGGCCCAGGCTCCCTGCTCCCAGCCCCACAGATCAGCTACACAGGACTGTAAAGGGGGGAAGAGGGGACTTCCTTAAGGTTTTCAGTGCTTGCCTTAAGTTTTTCAGTTCTGAACAGCACAGGGACAAACCACAGGCTTCAGGGCTTGCATTGGTGGTGGCTGGAGTTCTCTGGAGTTGCATTGGTTCTCTGGAGTCTGGAGAAAAGGATCCCATGGGGCAGGTTTGGATGAGCATCAGGCATAGATTCAGCCATCAGCCAATGCAGTAACAAGACTTTGCTAACACAGAGAGAGGGCAGCCAGCCCAGAGCTCAGCACTCACAAGGATAGGTGCAGGGCTAGGGATCACCAGCCAGGGTTTTCTTAAGTGCTCAGTGCCAGGAAGGCTCCTCAGAGCACACCTCTGGCCTCACCCTCCAAACAGGAGCCAAGTTCATGTCCTTAGTGCTGTCCCCCAGATATCCTCCTCAATGTCTTCTTGGCCATCGCAGTTGATAACCTGGCTGAGGCTGAGAGCCTGACCTTAGCCCAGAAGGCTAAAGCAGAGGAACGCAAGCGGCGGAAGATGTCCAGGTGAGTGCTGCAATCCCTGTCCAGGTGCTTTGGTGTGAGGAGACAGAATAGCACTGCCCATGCCCTTGCCCAGCGTTCAGTTCCTACTCTCCCCTCCTCTCCACTCAGACATTACCCAGAGAAGTCTGAAGATGAGAAGCAGATACTGGCAAAGAAGCTTGAGCAGAAAGCAAAGGGAGAAGAGATTCCCACAACAGCCAAGGTCAGTGCTGGTGGGTCTGAGGCTTGGGGAACTCCTGGTCCTTGGGGACCAGGCTCCTCTCACCAGCCAGGAGTGACAAAGGCTTGGAGCCAGCCTGGATCTGGACTCCTCTGGGCCAGAACTTCTCCTCACCTTAGCATCCTCTGGTGATGGGGTTGCTCTAGGCCCAGGCAGGACATGTTGCCTGGTGAAATAGGCCCATTGCCGGGTGTCCTTTTCCTCTGATTCATTTCCTTGGCCACATCCAGTGGATGGGCTGGTACAGATCAGTGTGGAGGGGAGCAGAGCATGCCAGCAGCCTCCCAGGCCTCCTTTATGTACACACCAGCATTCCCTGTCTGCAAACTCCTCTGTTCAGCTGTGATGAGATGCCTCTTGATAAGCATCTGGGCAGCAGCTACTTCCCTATTCACTTTCCAGAGACTCCCCATGAGAACTCACTCAGGAGTTAGCCCCATGTCTTATTCCACCCATAGTATAGGTGCATGGCCCCAGGCTCTTGCCCAGCACATATTTCCCTGTCCCATCCTCTTAGTATTGCTTTTTGCTCAGATTGCAGCATCCCTGAGGTGTCTTCCCTCACCCTGCTCCATCCTGGGCCAGGACTCCATGTGCTTGGTGCTGTATGGGCACCAAGAGACATTGCTTGCCCACATCACTTCCAAGTTGACAGAGTCTGGGCAGCAGGCCACATTTGGCAACAGTACTGGCACACACAGCTGTGTGTCCTCCTCTCTCTTTTATTTCAGTTAAAAGTGGACGAATTTGCATCCAGTGTCAATGAGATCAAAGACCCCTACCCTTCTGCTGACTTCCCAGGTGAGACTTGTCCCTGGAAGGGCAGCAGGAAAGCTGGCGTGGCACTGCAGAGGGATGCTGCCAGTACACTGGCTGTGTGAGGAGCAAAGGATGTGGTGACCTTTTGCCAGCCTTGGGGTACTGAGGTCCTTCTGGCACAGATGCCAGATTAGGATCAGAGGATTGTCCATAAGGTCACATTCCCTTTGTGAGTGGTTCTTTCCTTTTCCCTCCTTGTGGCCACCATGCAGGTGATGATGAGGAAGATGAGCCTGAAATTCCCCTGAGCCCTCGGCCACGTCCCCTTGCAGAGCTACAGCTGAAAGAGAAGGCTGTGCCCATGCCTGAAGCCAGCTCCTTCTTCATCTTCAGCCCAACCAACAAGTAAGCACTAAGTCTTCTCCCTGAACTATGGAACCAAACCTGGGTACCTCTGGCACTGACCCTTCCCAATGGCATCCTACTTATGCATAACAGCGAGGCCTGAAGTGAGCCAGCTCACTGGGAAGTTCTCTCTGGAAGGGCTGGGAAGGATATCCCTTCATGCTTAGGTCCTTCCTAAGGGCTTAGCCATAACCCTCTTCCCAGGCTTCCATGGCCCTATCTGCTATCTGTCTGACCCATTGCAGCATCTCATGCCATTCCTGTCCCTGGCAGGTTTCGGATGCTGTGCCACAGGACTGTCAATGCTACCTGGTTCACCAACTTCATCCTGCTCTTCATTCTCCTCAGCAGCATCTCCCTGGCAGCTGAGGATCCCATCCGGGCTGAGTCCTTCCGTAATCAGGTGCCCATGTAGCTGTGGAGGGTTGGGATGGGTAGGAAAAAGACCTCACGGAGACCCTGGCTCCCCATTAAGCAGAGACCTGCTTGCCAGATGTCATGTCTAGGCAGGTAGCTGTGATTTCATCCCTGCCTCTGGGAGAGCAATACACTATGGGAGATGTTAGCTGTGTTCTCCATTCTTGGAGAGTTTTTACTGCTCTGTATCTCAGTTTACTTCTAGGTGAAGAGATCCACCTGACAGGGTGTGGGAGATTACCTTGTTTGAAGGCTGTGGTAGCTTATTTAGGATAGGGACATCCTGTAAGATGGCAAACTGGTGTGTGCAGCACCCTGAAATGCTGCTGGCATGGAGCAGTGGTAACCACAAGTCTATCCACATGAAGCACAAATGGGTCCGCACCCATGCAGTGTATGACAAGGGATGGGATGTCTCAATTGAGAACTTCTAGGGATCAGATGCTTTCAGGTGAATCAGGTCAAGCCTCACTTATTGGAAACTGAGAGCTGCAAGATGGATCATGCAGTTGAGAGTATCAGCGAAGCTGAGGGAAGTTAAGGAGTCCTCTTGGCACTGGGTTTGCAGACTGTCACCTAGATGGGCTCCCCAGTCCACAGAGTAAGGGCCAAACCCCCAGTGCCAGGATGTTTGAACACACTGGGGCACTTCCCATGTCATGCACATCTCATTCAGTTTTGGTGCTTCTGTCTACAGATCCTTGGATACTTTGACATCGGTTTCACCTCTGTCTTCACAGTTGAAATTGTCTTGAAGGTGAGTCCCTCTGCCCTGTGCATGATTCAGTGCATGGGTCTAGACTGTTCTGGCCATGGGCACTTGTGCTCTTTGGGTGCAAGCTCAAGGTCCCAGCGAGGAGAAGCTGCCAGCTGATGCTCACAACCCAGAGTTTATGCAGTCTAGGTGGTGTATGACCTGCCCCGGCAACTGTAGTCCCCTCCAGGGAGGTCACCTGTGCAATAGGGACAGCAGGGCCATGGTACCATCAGGTTTGTTCTGACATGCTCCATTGAGAAAGAAATGGAAATACATGGAGTAAAAGAGTTATTCAAGCAACTGCTGCATGTTACTCCCACTCCAAGTCTCTTTTCTCTTTAATCTGCTGAATGACTGGGAAGTGTTTTGTCTCCAGTACAGAGGATTTCAGCTGAAGTCAGCTTCCTGCCTGCCTGCAGAGGTCTGAGCAGGATAAGGTCCCCAGGCTCTGGGAGAAGCCCCTTGTACCTTGTCTGCCCCAGGACTGTGGAGGGACCATGCCCTTGACCCCTGCCTGGCTTCTCTCCTAACTCCTTCTGCTCCCCAGATGACAGCTTATGGTGCTTTCCTGCACAAAGGCTCCTTCTGCAGAAATTCCTTCAATATCCTGGACTTGCTCGTGGTTGCTGTATCCCTCATCTCCATGGGAATTGAGTAAGCACTTCCACGCTTGGCAGGGTGGGTACTGATGTGTTCAGCCTGGCAGGGCAGATGGGGTGCTGCTCTGTCCTCTGTGCTGGATGGAGAAGGAGCGGCCAGCCCAAGGGCTGAGCGTTAGCTCATGTGTTAACGTCCATAAAGCCAGGGGGACAGGGCATGAACAAAAGGGAGGCAGGAAGGCCAACTCCTGGAGTGTCAAAGGGTAGGAATTCAGTTTGGAGCTGATTTCTCCAGCTGCCAGTATCCCTTGGCCTTATGTGGGGTGATGACATAGTGACATATCCTTTGCCATCCCTTGTCCCTCACCCTTGCTCCCAGCCTGGCCTCTGTGGCTGCTTTGTGGGACTGTGCCAGCCTGGCCTGGGCAGGGGAATTGCCCCATCTCACCTCTGCTTTCTTCCTTAGGTCCAGTACCATCTCAGTGGTGAAGATCCTCCGGGTGCTGAGGGTTCTGAGGCCTCTGCGAGCCATTAACAGGGCAAAGGGGCTGAAGGTAAGAGGGAGACTGGGGGTCCTCAGCCCATGGGGGTCCTCCTGGGAGGTTATGTGGCAGGCATCATGCCCTGTGAGGCCAAAAACCCAATTCCCACTCCCTTGCCTGTGGGACGAGGTGTGCCCCATCCCTGTTTTGGCAGGCTTCCACTCCTCCTGAGACCCATCCCTGCAGTGAGAGGGAGTGGGACATGCAGCAAGGGCTTGCCTCACATGTGCATTGTCCTTGACCTCTGCAGCACGTGGTCCAGTGTGTGTTTGTGGCCATCAAGACTATTGGGAACATTGTGGTCGTCACGACACTGCTGCAGTTCATGTTTGCGTGCATTGGGGTCCAGCTCTTCAAGGTGAGAGGTGTCTCAGATGGGCAGGAGAGGTGTTCTGCTCGGACACATCCTCTTCTAGTTATAGTTCTTGGGGTGGTGTCTCCCAGTGTTGAGATCAGCACAGGCCATACTCTGCTCTGCACGAGACTGTCCTGCAGAAGAGCCTGCAGTGGAGGGCAGGAAACTCCCAGGATACTGTCAGGTCCTGACAGTACATATAGAGGGGCTAGGTAATGCCTGTTTTCCCTTTCTAAGGTGGCAAGTGCTTCTGACTTCCTCTGTGCTTTGGATACAAAGTGTTTCCCTTTACACAGTACCGCTCCTTTGCTCTGGGCCTTGGCTGCTCCAGGACAGAAAACTGGCCTTGGCTGAACTCAGCTTTGTTCTCATAATTGGGCTGAAACTCCCAGCCACCTTGGGGAGAGCTTTCAGGACACCCTGCAGACTGAGCAGGGCTGTCAGCATACCTTAACTTTCAGTCAATTCTGTGGTTACTGCTTTCTTCCCTATTTTCCAAATAGTTTGCTCCCAGATAGGATGAGCTAGATGGGTCTCAGCTCAAGGCCCTAGAAGATTTGTTCCCATCATTAAGCAATGTTTAATCTTAGCCTGGGATTGACTCCAGGCTCCTGAAACACCCTGTGAATGGCGTTTGTTGGTGTGCAGAGCAGGGAAGCCAGTGGTAGTGCAAGGCCGAGGCCAGAGCCAGCATGAAGCCAGGGTGGGAACTGACAGGGTGGGCTTCTGAATCACAACAAAATCACTTCCTCTTCTGACCTCTGTTAAATGCAGGGCAAGTTCTATAGATGCACAGATCCATCCAAGCTGACAGAGAAGGAGTGCAGGTAAGAGCTCTCTTGCAGCTCAGCTTCAGGATGGGGAGCAGAGAGCTGGTGGGGGCCATTCTTCATAGGGATGTTGCATCCAAAGAGTGGAGCCAAAGTCTCATGCTGTTCTCCTACCCCTTGGGGTAGATCTGAAACAAGCACAGGGCTGTCCTCCCCTCCCAGGGATCAGAGAACCCTGGTCCAGCACTGCAGTGGGTGGGCTGAAAGGGAGCCCTGCCTGGTGACCACCACATCCCTTCTGCTGCAGGGGTTACTTCATCAACTACGTGGATGGGGACCCCACGCAGATCGAGCTGCAGCAGCGTGTCTGGTTGCACAACAACTTCCACTTCAACAACGTATTCTCAGCCATGATGTCCCTTTTCACTGTCTCCACCTTCGAGGGCTGGCCAGAGTGAGTCTGAGGCCTCCTAAGGGGTTGGTCTGTGGTGGGAGCACATCACTGCTGCAGGCATTTGCCATGATAAAGAAAGAGCTGCCCAGGCTGAGAAGCAGGGCTAGCCATGTTGGCAGTGGCTGTGGAGCTCACGAGGTCATCCCAGCAGCACTGTGCCGCTGATCTGAGATGTCCCTAGAACTCTTCATAACCTTCGAGAGGAGAAATGGTCTTTCCAACCTAATTAGGGTCTCTGTTTCCTCGCTTTGCCTCCTGTAGGCTGCTATACATGGCCATTGACACTAATGCTGAGGATACAGGCCCTATCTACAACTACCGGGTGGAGATCGCAATGTTCTTCATCATCTATATCATCCTCATTGCCTTCTTCATGATGAATATTTTTGTGGGCTTTGTCATTGTCACCTTCCAGGAGCAAGGGGAGAATGAATACAAGAACTGTGAGCTGGACAAGAATCAGGTAATGGGACTGCTGGGACAGGGAAAGTTGGGCCATCTGAATCAGGCTGGGAAAGAGGAGCTTAACCTGGCCCAGGTCTGGTCACTGCTGGGACAGGGTCAGCTGGACCCATGCCTGGCACAACACAAACCTTCTAAGGGAAGGGCAGATTGGACCGGAACCAGGGAGTGGGCCTTCTGGTGCAGGTAGGGTGCCCAGACTGGGCTGGAGCAGATGGTTGCACCCAGTTCTGGCCTCCTTAGAACAAAAATTACATGGATGTACTGGAGTGAGTCCAGCAAAGGACCTCTGAGATGTCTGAAGGTCTGAAGCATCTGTCCAAGACGAGGCCAAGAGCTGAGTCTGGTGTTGGGAAGGCTCATAGGGATCTTGCCTATGTGTATACCTATGGAGAGGGTGTAAAGAAGATAAAACCATGTTCTTTTCAGTTGTGTCCATTGACACAACAAAAAGCAAGAGGCACAAAGAAGAAACCAAGAAACTCCATTTAAACATAAACCCCACTTTTTTATGGTGAGGGTGGTTAAGCACTGGAACAAGCTGCCCAGAGAGGCTGTGAAGTCTCCATCTTTGGAGATATTCAAACCAAACTGGACACAGTCCTGGCAGCATGGTATAGCTGGCCCTGCTTTGGGCAGGGAACTTCAACTAGACTATCTCCAGAGGCACCTCTGTCTGTCAGCCCTTCTGTGGTGCTGTCATGCTGTGATTCTGGCTGGGGTTACCAAGGTTGAATGAAGCAGAAGTGAGACCAGCACTGGGAGAGGATGTGGCACATGCTGGGGAGGAGAAAGTAAGCCTGTAGGAGACACCATGGGCACCTTGACCTGAGGCTGCTGGGGGTGTTGTGAGCTGCACATGAACCCAGCAGAGATGACCCTGGCCTGATGGGGAGGGAAGAGCCTGCTTGGCACCTCTCAGGTGCAGAGAGAAAACTCAGTGCCCCCTTCACCTCTGGTTCATGTAATGTCTTCAGGCTGTTCTTGGCCAGTCCTGAGAGGCCAGGCTCAGGACTGGAGGGGTGCAGCATGGCAACCTTTGGAGGCAAGCATTGGCTTTGGAAACCTGGTCCCATGTGGGTGCTCTGGAGGTGCATTTGCAGAAAGCACAGCAAGTACCTGAGACATCATCACTCAAGTGACCCCCCTGGCCCAGTCATAGGGCTGAGAAAAAAGTGGGGGATCCAGCTTGTGCCTGTGGGGACATGCAGAGGTGCTGGTGGTGCTGAGCCTGCACCTGTGCCCCTGGCACTGTCCTGGGGTCACATCTGCCCTCTTTTACCCAGCGCCAGTGTGTGCAGTATGCACTGAAGGCTCGCCCACTGCGATGCTACATCCCCAAGAACCCCTACCAGTACCAGATCTGGTATGTGGTCACCTCCTCCTACTTTGAGTACCTCATGTTCTTCCTGATTCTGCTCAACACCATCTGCCTAGGCATGCAGGTAAGGGGCACAGTGCTCATCATGGGTAGTGGAGGGATGTCCAGAACAAAAGACAGGTCAGCTACCTCCAAGAGAGCTTCTGCAGGGGAGATCTTTCCTACACAGCAAAGCTCTTGGTGTGTGTTCAGCACCCCTGGGGCAAAGTGTGGCTGGTTGGATGTGGGGAGCCCAGAGAAGGGGCTGCCTGGGGGAAATTTCCTTTTTGCTGAGCATTGATAAGCCTATGGCCTGGGAGGGGGTTCTACATCCAGCACACACCTCTGAGCTCACAACAGAGGCTGCACCTGCCACAGGCCAACGTGGCTCCTTCTGCCTTCTCAGCATTACAACCAGTCTCCAGAAATGAACCATATCTCAGACATCCTCAATGTGGCCTTCACCATTCTCTTCACCCTGGAGATGATCCTCAAGCTCATGGCCTTTAAAGCCAAGGTAAGGGGAGAGCATGGTCCAGAGAGCAGAGGGCCCCAGGCCAGGCCATTTACCCTGTATTTAACATCACTTAAGTACAAGCATCCCCAGGCCTCCAAATCCATAGAACTCCTTGTGAGACTCTTGGGGACCCCATGCACAGGACCTGCACTGGAAAGACTTCTGTTTGTCAGGGCTACCCTTGCTAGCCACGTGCAACCCAAGCCAGCCAGCCACTGTTCCCATCTTCAGGGTCACCTGTCGTTGGTGTGGCCACCTTGATCTACCCTCCTCATTTCCTACTATTGTAAGGCCCAAACAATTGATTAGAGAGTACAATGTCTGACCACCATCCCTTTTCCTGGCTCTCACTGAGGTGCCAGAGGTCACTGGTAATCCTTTTGGTACTCCTCCTTCTGGGAACCAGCATCTCTCTCCTCCTTGATTTAACCCTTGGATGTTCACTCTTCTTCTCTGGCTCTTCCCTGACAGGGCTACTTTGGGGACCCCTGGAATGTCTTTGACTTCCTCATAGTGATTGGCAGCATCATTGATGTCATCCTCAATGAAATTGATGTAAGTGTTGGGCTGCTCCTGCAACACCACTGCCAGCACCCACCTGAAGCTGTGCCCTGTGGCGAGTGCTCCTGTCCCCTGAGATCCTGTGGAAAACAGTCTACTCACTCAGGACTGGACCACACACAGCAGGAAAAAGGGTTTCCCCAGCTCCTTGCACCCACAGGACACTGCTGTCCCATGCCAGGAGAGGGTCAGGCACATCAAATTGCAAGGCTTTTGTGTGTGTCCCTTTATACAGGGATCCATCCATATACACATCCTGATTGTGTATGTGTGTATGTGTTTAGACACTCTTCCAGAGCTCTACATCATATAACCTGTGTGGCTGGGTGGCTGCAGGCAGTGGCTATATGGGAAAGACTCTGCTGGGACCATTTTCGGAGCAGTGCTGTGCAGTCAGTGAGCCACTGCCTTTCATAGCACTGGGACATCCACCCCCCGTGTCTGGCACTGAAAATGTCCCTCTGCACCAGGAAGTCATGGGCTGTATTTAGCAGATTTGATGGTAACTCTAGAAGCAGCTGTAGGATGGGGTATGTTCTAGATTAACCCTCTCTAGTGACTTTGCATGCTGTCTCCTTGCAGGAACAGGGTTGTGTCTGGCAGAGCTGCTGCCACTGCCATCCATGTGCACAGTGACCTGCAGCCATTCTCTATGCTGGGGAGGAAAGGGTGTTTAGAGGTGGGAGTCATCTGCTTCTCTGGAGGGTGGTCTAGGTCTCACAGAGCTGGGGTGAGCAAAACTATTCATTTTCCTCTCCTGTGACAGCAACACATTCCTCTCTGCACAGTCTTGCACGCTGCTGCTCCTATCCTCCAGCCTCTGGGTTTCTCAGCCTGGATGAGCTCCCAGATCTCATGCCAGTGCCAGCAGCTTTTATCTGTCACCAGGTTCTCCAAGACACCATCCTTGGTCCCCCGGCACCTGTGACCTGGTTTCCCATTGTCTGTCGGGTATCATTTCCTACTGTGCTACCAACTTCACCATCCTGTTGTCACTCAGCAATTAAGTTCAAAGGGTGCTTTAGGCACCCTTAGGTGTCACTGGGCAAAGATTTTCAGTCCCTGTGGAACAAGGGGCCAGGTCAGCTGGCAGATGCCAAAGTGCTGTTGTGCTTGGGCATGGACCCGTGGGAATGCCAAGGACATAGGTCACAGGCACCCAGAGGAGTTCAGTTCCCTGACGGGGCTGACAGGGACTGATCAGATACTTGCACTCCTCTGGCAGTGGCAGGACTGTGCAGGAAGGCCAGGCAGGATCTCAAGAATGGTCCTATATGGCCTGAGCTTCCCTGGTCTCCCCCAGGTCTGGGTGCTGGGGTCACTGAGAACACTGGTCTCCCTCCTAGTCTCCCAAGCTCTTCAGGGGCCTCTGTCACAAGCAGATCTGCTCTGGCAAGTCTCATGCTCCAGTAAACATCTATGTGCCCTCCTGAGAGCAGAGCCACTTGTGGCTGCCTCACCTTTCCTCTGTGTGCTTTTTTCTCCATCCAGCCCACAGCTCTCCCAGCATCACCAGGTTTCCCAGCCATCTGGTGATGTGGAGGGGGATTAGGGGGCAGGGGGGCAACCTCCCTTACTGGTAAGTCCTCCTCCCTGCTGAGAAGTGAGTGCAAGCTGGGTCTATTACCTCTGGTCCCCAGGGGCTGTTTGCAACCCTTGCACCTATCATAGCTCACCCAGCTGCTGCAGGCTGCAGGGGTGGTGGGTGGCACCTTGCAGCAGCCAATCCATTCCTGATGGCACCTGGGCACGCACCTCTGGTTTGCAAAGTCTGTCCTCTCATGGCTTTCCATTCTACCTCTCTTCTCCCTCATGTCTCTCTGTGTGTGGCTGCCAGGGTGAAGTGGTGGGGAGTGTTGTGCTGTCAGGGGTTCTCTGCTGGCCACCACAGCCAGATCCTCACAGCTCTTCAATTGCAGAATCATAGAATCAACCAGATTGGAAAAGACCTTTAAGATCATCAAGTCCAACCTTCAGCCTAGGACTGCCAAGTCCACCATGATCATTGAGCTCCCCCAAAGCCCAGGGGTACTGAGGTGTCTGAGGCAGGAGGTAGGTAGGGATGGGGGCCCCTCTGGCAGTGCTACCCCAGGCTCTAAAGTGTAGTGTCCATGCTCCTGGGTCACTCCTGCCATGCCTGCCCTGGAAGCTCAGCCCTTCCACAAGTGCCAACCCTCCCAATCTACCCAAAGCCTCCTGCAATCGCTTGCTCTGGTTAGCTTGCCTTCATATCCCACCTGCAGTGTCCATGGACCTGACCAGAGGAAGCAAAATTACACAGTCCTGAGGCTTGGCCCAGATTTCCTGGCCCATACACCCCTGCCCCTGTGATGTGTATGTCACAGCAGGGGAGATGCAGTGAGGTACAGAAGTGTGTATGAGTCAGTCATGATCGCTGTGTTTCTCTGGCATTCATCCACTGCCTCTCTCCTTCAAAAGTCACCTTGTCTGTGAGCCTGAGTGATGCTGTGTCTCTGGCCTTCCCCTGTGTTCTTCCCGTTGTCCCCAGTTTCCATCCCACTCTTCTCTTTCTGTGTCTTCTTCTTCAAGCAGCCATCCCTTCCTCCCTCTCATTTCTGCACCATTTCTCCTGCTGACTCTCTTGTTCTCTTGACAGACTGTTCTTGCATCCAGTGGTGGATTGTACTGCCTCGGCGGAGGCTGCGATGGCATTGTAAATATCAGCTGCATGTGCTTGTGGTGTGCCCCTCTCCACCTCGCTGCCCATGGTCCTGCCAGTGTGCCTGTGACTGGTGTTTGCATGTGTCCTGCACGTCCTTAAAGCACACCAGACCCAGCTGCTCTCTCTAGGGTGTAGCTGTCCCCTTTCTGAGAGGGACCTGGGACGAGACACCCCACACAGACGCTCCTTCCCATCTTGAGGTGTGCCAGGCTCTTCCCCAGCCCTCCTGGCTCTATCTGCTGGCCCTGCAGCAACTCACCTCCCAGCACTCTGGTACCTGACCTGAACGGAGCATCTAACAAAGATGTCTATGGCTGTTGATGAGAGGACAGTTGGCCTTGGCTTCTTTGACCATTGCCCTGTCTGTGTAAGGCCCAAACAGATTTACCTGCATGAATGCACCCTCTGACACTGTTAGCTGGATAAATGGTTAGAGGGGTGTCTATTGCACCGTGCCTTCCCCAGGAGCTGCCTGTGTCCCGCAGCTGTTGGCCTTATGTGCTGGTGGCTGAGACCACTAGTGGGATGGGGGTACCTTGGGGGTACCTTGGGGGTACCTTGGGTACCATAGAAGGTTGGAAAATGGGGAGGAGCTGGCAGCAAGGTCCCATGTGCTGGAGCCTCTTCCCAAGGTGGAGGACCATGGTGCTGGTGACTGCAGAGGGAAAGCTGGCCTGCACTGGGCACTGAGGACATGGTGCACTGGGGCTTATGAGATGTTTCTGACCTCTGCGCTGGGCACTAGGAGAGCGAAAGGCAAAAGAAAGAGGAGTGGGGAGAGGAGATGGTGTTTTGCAGTGCAGTCCTGAGAACTCAGAAATGCCAGACTGGGGAACATGGAGCTGCTGGGAGGGATGTTCACAGCTGGATTTTGTTGCCCTGAAATAGCTGGGAATAGGTAGGCTGGATGATGGGAGTGAAGGGAAATCAAGTAGCAGCTGAGGGAGCAGTGGGAGAGGCATCCCAAGCAGTGATGGAGTCAGGATGGACAGAGGCCTGGCAGAGGCTAGGAAGGGCTGCTTATTGTTCCTGGTGGCAGAGGCTGGAGCTGAGGCTGTGCCATGCTGGAGCAACCAAGGGAGCAGGTAACCAATCCCCCGGAGTCCCAGGTGGTCCAAGACCAGTCCTGGCCCTTTGAGCCCAGGAGCTCAGTTGTCCCCAACCCTGGGACTTGTCTTTTCACCCTTCCAAGACAGGCATCACTGCAGGTAGAGGTGAGACTTGGCAGCACCCCTTCAAAGCCACCTTGCCTTCAATTGCTCCTTTAGTCCATAAAAGCCCAGCTGCGACATTCTCAGACCAAGCTTTCTGTGTGTAAATACCCATCATTAGCCCTTCGTGTGCCTGGTGCCTCACCTACAGCTCACCTTACAAATAGAACCTGAGGTGGGAGCATCCCATATGGCACATGCTGGGTGAGAGCCTGAAGGAAACGGGTCCTGTCTGGTGCGTGGTGAACAGCATAGCTCTCCCAGCATGCGTTCCAGCATGCCTTTCTCCCTGCAGTGTCCCGTCCCTCTAACTAAGGGGGTTGTTCTCATACCCATAGCCAGGCATCTGGAGCAGCCCAAGGGGTGGAGATCTAAGACCACGGGGCTGGGGAGATGAACTCCTTGGGAAGGCTGGTGGGAAAGTACCGGCACATTCCCTTTCAAGTCTGGTCCTCCATGCAGACAAGGGCTGGTGCCTGGGGGAACCTTGTAACCCTTCCTCCAGGACCTGGACCCCTCCTTGTCTGCCTGGAGGCCCCAGCACCCGCTGCCCTCCTGGTGTTGTGCTCTGCATGCAGGACCCCGATGATGACTCCCGCGTCTCCATCACTTTCTTCCGTCTGTTTCGGGTGATGCGGCTGGTGAAGCTGCTGAGCCGGGGAGAAGGTGTCAGGACCCTCCTCTGGACCTTCATCAAGTCCTTTCAGGTATGTGAGCAGTGCCCCCCTCCCAGACAAGCACATGCCCAGGGCTGGCAGCAAGCTCTGTGATTCACACGCTAACTGGGTGAGCAGTCTGTCCTCACGAGGCAGAGGAGGAAAGCTCCAGAGCTGGCAAGAGCACTGAGCCTCAGACTGGACCAGGGGCTTTGTGCTCTGTAGGAGAACATGGCCTATATGGGTGGGAAGATGCAGGGGATCTCCCTGACAACACCATGTGTCAGAGCAAGCAGGCAGGGCCTGCCTGGGCCCACCATCAAGGATGGGCTCTGCACCCAGTGGGTAGCCCAAGGGTATGCTGCAGCATCTCAGCACACAGCCCCTGAGCCTGGGCAGCTCCCTCAGCCCTGGGCATCCCTGGGCTGTGCTTAGTTTTCATCCCAGCTGCAGAGGCATGGTTCTCCTTTGGGTTTTGGCATAAGCAACGCATGAGAACTGGAGAATGCGGCTAGTGGGAGGGCGGTTAGAGGAACAAACAAGTAAGCTGTTCCCACATAGTGAGGCCTGGATTCTGGCCTCATGCACTAGCTCTAGACCCTACCTCCAGTCCCTGGGTTGTCTTGATGCTGGGCTGATGTCTCATGAGAGCTATGGTCCTTTTGTCACAGGCTCTGCCCTACGTAGCCCTGCTGATTGTGATGCTTTTTTTCATCTATGCTGTGATTGGGATGCAGGTGAGAGCACAGGGGTAGGATTTGCTGTTGAATAGATGCCCTGAACCTGATGGCATCTGGGGAGGCGGGATGGAGAGGAATTAGGTCCTCTGCCAGGCACCCCTGGGACTTTGTACATGATGGGACCATTTTACCCTGGTCTGTAAGGATGCTGACAGTCCCAGCAACCTCCTCCCATCCCCAGGCTGCAAATAGGGCAACTGAGCCATGGCACTTCTGGAGGCAGGGCACAACCTAGACACAGTCACCAGTGCTTGTACCTGGTTCATAAGACCTTGTCTCCTTGGCCCAGATGATGTGCAGCACAGACAGGGGAATTTTCAGCATAGGCAGGAACGTCCAAGGAGCTGCAGAGCACCCACACCCTGGTCTCAGTCTCTTTTGGGCATACCCAAAGCCTAGTAAACAGGAGGAAGAGGAGCTCAGGGCTACTCTGGAGGGTGGTCAATGCCTGAGAATGGGTACTGGGGACCTGACAGTGTGATTTACAGATGTTTGGGAAGATTGCCATGGTGGATGGGACCCAGATCAACCGAAACAACAACTTCCAAACCTTCCCACAGGCTGTTCTGCTGCTCTTCAGGTCAGTCTTGGCTTGGTGAGCAAGCAGCTCCACAGGCACAGTCAGCATGGGAGCCCACCAGCTCAGAGTGAGGGAGACCAGCACGGCCATAGCTGATTTCTTTCCTGCCCTACAGAAAAATCTCTTGCAGCGGTGCCAGCATTTCAGGAGTGGCTCTTGGTTTGCTTGGTGTAGTTGAACTGCAGGAGAAAGGCACTTTAGGGTTTCTGTTCTGAATGCTTCCTTCTCAGACTGGATTTTAATTCATAGTATCATAGAATGGCTTGGGTTGGAAAGGACCTTACGATCATCCAGTTCAAACCCCCTGCCATGGCAGGGGCATCCCACACAGACTATGTCACCCAAAGCTCTGTCCAGCCTGACCTTGAGCACTGTCAGGGATGGGGCAGCCACCACTTCTCTGTGCACCCTGTGCCAGTGCCTCAGCACCCTCATAGTAAAGAACTTCTTCCTTAGATCTAACCTGAACTTCCCCTGCTCAAGTTTAAACCCATCACCCCTTGTGCTATTAATTTGTGAATTGTGAGGAAACTCAAGAGGAAGCAAGGGCTCAGCCCAAGGCTTTCCTTGACTCCAAGCACTCTGGAGCCCTCTCTGAAGCTTCTAAAAGCAGACTCCCCACAGCAGCACAGCAAGCCCAGAATCCCCACTGCTCCTTTCCCAGTGGTTCTCTGTTCTCCTCTGTGCTGAGATGGCCACAGCCCACCCTCTGTGCTCAGCTCCTGCCCAGGGCAGTCAGAGACCAGCACGCATCCCCTCTGCTCAGGTGTGCCACTGGTGAGGCCTGGCAGGAGATCCTGCTGGACTGCAGCTATGGCAAGCTCTGTGACCCTGAGTCAGACTTCAACGAGGGCGAGGAGTATACCTGTGGCACCGGCTTTGCCTACTTCTACTTCATCAGCTTCTACATGCTCTGTGCCTTCCTGGTATGTGACCTCCCATGGGGCTCCCTTCTGCACCTCCAATCCTGGCCCTGAGCAGCCCCTGGTGTTGAGTTAACCTTGCATCTCACTGGGCTGAGCACACAGCACCCTCTTCCTAGGAGCATCATAGAATCATGGAATGGTTTGGGTTGGAAGGGACCCTAAAGCTCCTCCAGCTCCAGCCCCTGCCATGGGCAGGGACCCCTTCCACTAGAGCAGCTTGCTCCGAGCCCCTGTGTCCAACCTGGCCTTGAACACTGCCAGGGATGGGGCAGCCACAGCTTCTCTGGGCACCCTCACAGGGAAGAACTTCTTCGTGATATCTAGCCTGAACAGATCATTCCCAGCCCATCTCCCAGCCATGCTGTAAAGCCGGCACCACACTTCTGTGGGACCCAAGATCTGCCATTACTTTCTTCCCACAACCCCCTTGTGCTGCCATCCACATGTGTCTGTGTTGGCTCTTGCAACGGCAGAGAGGGAAGATGTGCCCTGTGCCTGCTGCAGCCTTTGTCTCCTTGGTGGGAGGCCCATCCCTGCATGGCATGACCCACAGCACCACCTGGCTTCAGAGGATCCCAAACCCCTTCTCCCAAACATTTCTGCCTGTGTTTTCCCATGGCTCTGCCCAGAGTGCTTGGCCCTGTCCTAACCTGCATCTTTTACGTTCCTCAGATCATTAACCTCTTTGTGGCCGTCATCATGGACAACTTTGACTACCTCACACGTGACTGGTCCATTCTTGGGCCCCATCACCTGGATGAGTTCAAACGGATCTGGGCTGAGTACGACCCTGAGGCCAAGTAAGTGACAGCGGATGAGTGGCATGGAGGGGATCTCCCAGGGTGCGAGGCCTCAGGACACACATGGCAGTGTGAGTTGTGGCATATCCCACCATCTCAGAGGTGGATGTAGACTTGCCAGCATATTCCAGGGCTGATACAAACCATCAGAATGTTTGGAGACACACGACTTCCAGTCCCCTCTTCATCCAGCCCTGGTGATGCTGCAAACTTTTATCATGCCACTGGACACCTTTGTCTGCTGCCCAGTGCAGTGGGGAAGTGTAAGGATTACTACAATAGGAGCTAAGGGAAGTGTAGAGATTTGCCCACTGCAAGAGCATGGACCAGGCTGCAAGGGTTGAACCCATGAGCCCCTGCCTGAACCACTGTCCCTGTGTCTGCCACTACACCGCTGATGCAGTTTGTTGCCTCTGCAGGGGCAGAATCAAACACTTGGATGTGGTGACTCTGCTGAGACGTATCCAGCCTCCTCTGGGCTTTGGGAAGTTCTGTCCACACCGTGTAGCGTGTAAGGTAAGAGCCAAGGGGGTGGTGAGGTGTGAGTGCACAGGGGCACCTTCTCCAACCTTTCTGCAGACTCCCCAGGGAGCTGAGGGTGCCAGTCCAGCCAGCTTCCCAATGCCATGGTTTATACCCATGTTCTGACCTCTCGTGTTGAACGGAGGAGTGTATTCTGGAGGCAAGGAGAGGTGCTGTCAACATGCATAGAGCTGATGTGTTTCAGGTTCCTGAAGATAAGGACTTGCCTGTCTTCACCCCCACACTGAGGGGCATGGCAATGGGCTGGTCTCTGCCCAACCCAGAGCCCTCAGTGCAGGGGGACTCCCAAGCCATGCTGGGGTGTCCCACATCTCCATCTGGTACAGGAGGACAGTGCTGGGCCTGAGTACCCAGCCCTGTCAACTGGGCTCTGGAAGTTTGTTTCCAAGGGCTGATAGCACTGGGGGAGCTGGAAACACTGGCTTCTGTAGGAGCCATGAGTTCACTTTTCCCAGCTCATTCTGCACAAATCCAGAGCCTGTAGGAGTTTCAAGTGTAACCCACATGGGCAGTGCCTCAGGCACTGCTGTAAACCAGGAGGGATCCTCAGCTCCCTCACAACAGACTGGGATGCTGTTTAGGTGGAGTGCAATGCAGAATGACTCCCATCTCCCTGGGAGCAATGCTGGGTCTCTTGCTGGCTGGTGGTTTAGAAAAGGAGGCTCAGGGGAGACCTTATTACTCTCTAAAACTACCTGAAAGGAGGTTGTAGCGAGGTGGGGGTCAGTCTCTTTTCAGTAGCAAGTGACAGGATGTGAGGAAACAGCCTCAGATTGCACCAGGGGAGCTTTAGACTGGGTAGTAGGAAACATTTCTTCACTCAGTGTTGTCTAGCATTGAAACAGGGTACTCAGGGCAGTGGTGGAGTCACCATCCCTGAAGGTGTTTAAAAGACATGTAGATGAGGACCTTAGTGACATGGTTTAGTGGTGGCCTTGGGAGTGCTGGGTAAATGGTTCGACTCAATGAACTGAAAGGTCTTTTCCAACCTAGACAACACAACGATTTTGTGATTTCCTCCCATGGCAGCGGTGGGTTATTTCCACAGCTGTGCCCTGGCTCTCCCCTCACCTTGATCTGGTTTAGCTGCCTGCTTTGGATGAGTGGTGTCAGTCTTGCAGAGCCCCACTAGGCAGGGAGGGTAGAGCTGAGAGGGCTCCTTGGCCAGCAGCTGGGTACCCCGCGAAGAGCCTTTACCGGGTAACGTGGCTGCCCTGTGGCCAGGCCAGGCTGTGTGTCTGCAGGGACCTGCCAGCCTCGTGCTCTGCTGCTTGGGCTCACGGTTGTTGGTTTGCTGTGCAGCGTCTGGTGTGCATGAACATGCCCCTCAACAGCGATGGCACTGTCACCTTCAATGCAACTCTCTTTGCACTGGTGAGGACAGCCCTCAAGATCAAGACAGAAGGTAAGTGATGCTCCTCTCTGCCTCTGCAGCCTGACTGGGGGGACCCTCTGCTTGCGCTGCAAGGTGCTGGTTACACATCATCCCCCACTCCATCTGGGGATCTTGGAGTACTTACCCATGGGGCTTAGACCTCTGGTGAAACCCTTGGCTTCATGTTCATTATCTCACTGGGCTAGAGACCATGGGCACATGCATGGGGCTGCTCAGACAAGGCTTGGAGGATATTACTAGTTGCAGCCCTGAAGAGTGAACCAGTTCCACAGCTCAGAAGTAGTTCTAACCCTGTTCCTGTCCCTGCCACAGCTACTGTATGTAGTCTGACCTTCCCCTGCCCCTGGCATAGCACCACCCATCCAGTTGTGCATTTCTCCATGTATTTAGAATCTCAAATTGGAATTTATAAATTCCTGAGTTTGGCTCTGCTGGGGATGAGTTGTTTTCACCCCCTTCCTTGCCAGCAACACAGTTTCCAAAGCCCTGCTTTGGGAAGATGCTACAACAGCTTGTTTCCATGCCTGTGGGTTAGGCAGTACCACACAAGCAGCTCTATGGCTGGGCCAGCAGCTCTGGCAGGAGGTGAGGTTGGGCAGCGGTGGGGTTGGAGTCCTCCAGCAGCATGGCATGAGGTGGCAACATTTCCCCATAGCTGGAGTGGGGAATGTGGCCTCTAGCACAGTGATGGCAGCTCTGGAAGGAGCACATGAGATCCCAGAGCACGCATGGGGACAGACTGGGATTGCAGGTGAACAGGAACAGTAAACCCCATGTAAACACCAAAGGGGAGGTTGAAATCTGTAGCTGATCCCCAGAACAGAGACAGTGACGCTGATGTTCTACCCATTTGTTAGGTGTGACTCTATAGTTATCTTTCTGCTAAAACCAAAGCCTTATTCTTACAAAGCTAATTCTTGTTGGGTGGGGAGGCTGAAGAGGAGCTGTCACACTCTGGAGCAGTCTGGCCAGGTTTTCCCATCTTTTGGCTTCACTCGTGCTCATGTTCCCCTCTGAATGCTCTGCTCTTTTGTCGCAGGTAACTTTGAGCAGGCCAATGAGGAGCTCAGAGCCATTATCAAAAAGATCTGGAAGCGAACCAGTATGAAGCTCTTGGACCAGGTTATCCCACCTATTGGAGGTGTGTTACCTGATGGTACTTCCCAGAGGGGCAGAACAGCACTTGGTTGAGGTCTCAGCTGCTCTGACAAGTCAGGGCCTTGTGATAGGCAATATGTTGGTTTCCTCCCCTCCAGATGATGAGGTGACAGTGGGCAAATTCTACGCTACTTTCCTCATCCAAGAGCATTTCAGGAAGTTCATGAAGCGCCAGGAGGAGTATTATGGTTACCGGCCCAAGAAGAACCCTGTGGAGATCCAGGTTGGTAGCATTAAGGTGGTGGTGGAGGGGTGACACCCTTCTTGAGGGCTGGCAGCTTGTGAAAGGGAGCTGTGGGAAAGCTTCCCCCAGGGAAGAGGCTTCCCCCAGCTCACAAAGTCCAGGGTGACTTATAAGAGCTGCAATAAACATAATGACTTCTGGAAATGAGGTGGCCCCATGTGAACCAGTGCTGAACTGGCCATGAGCGCTGAGGGTTACCTGAGTCTCCAGGGTACAGTTGACTCCAGAAACAAAGGAGATTTTGACTCCCTGCCCTGCTGTCTTCGGCTGGAGAAAGGGCTCAGCAGATGCCTTACCAAGACCTGGAAGCCCCCACCACAGACCAGTGTCTGAGCTGAATACTGCTCATCCAGGCCCTTCTCTACCTACTCTTCTCCATTCCCAGGATCTTCTCCCTTTCCCCATCTTAGCAGTGTCATGGATAGTTCTGTGTGCCTGGTGCTTTCTATACCATGTCTCATTGCCTGGTGCTACATCAGGTGGAGAGGGGTTGACCAGGACCATTGCAGTCAAAGAAGCCTGCACAGTAGCCCTGAAGGATGCTGTCAGGGTGGGATGGGATGTCCCTAGTTTCTCCTAACCCTACAGGGAGGAAAGCACTTGTAGAGATAAAAGACCAAAAGTGCAAGGCAAGGAAAAGAGCCAGGCCCCAGATCAGGTATCTCCAGATCAGGGTCAAAGCTACCCCTTGGGCATCACCAGTGCAACTTTTCATCAGGCTGCTCATAGCACACGCCTTTGTGGGACAGTATTAGCCTGGAAGTTCTTTCACCAAGCACAGAGCCAGGCAGTTGCAGGGCAACTGATGGCCTGTTCTGGTAGGAGACCATGGCTTACCAGGTGAGCATGCTCCATCATGTTTCCCTCTCCAAAGCCCAAAGTGAGAGGGCTGGTGGGGCCAGGCCACATCCAGCCATGCCTTGTTTTGTCCCCACCAGGCTGGACTGAGGAGCATTGAAGAAGAAGCTGCTCCTGAAATCCGTCGGGCCATTTCTGGGGACCTGACTGCTGAAGAGGAGCTGGAAAGAGCAATGGTGGAAGCTGCCATGGAGGAAGGGATATACAGGGTGAGTACAGCCCTCAGGTCTGATCCAACCCGCTTTTTGGATGTGGCAGTGGTGGGTCAGTACAGCTACCAGCAGCTGGAGGACAGACCACAGAGGTGAACCTCACCATGAAAGTCAGTGTGGACTACAAGGATGGATCTGCACTTCTGTCCCCCTGAACATCAGGATACCCTGGTTGATTCATCCTGAGCAACCTGCTCCCTGCCTCAGTTTCCCCTCTCTAAAAGGACCCTGCAGGGCTGTGCTGAATGTTTACCCATGGTGTGGAAGGCCCCATTCACACCTTCTCACAGGCCAATGTCATCAGCACCAGAGCAGGAGCAGTTTCACTTCCCACTCCCTGGAAGCCTTTGGGACAGGATGGGCAGCTGTGCTGTTGCACCTTCTTCTGTCCAGAGGTGCCACTGGCTGTGGCTGTCCCCCGGAGATGGCAGGATTTGCCATGCACGGGGTTGGCTCTCATCCCAGTGCTGCTGGTGACCATCACCCCTCAGTGCCTCAGTTTCCCCACCTGGGCAGTGAGGCTTTGGAAACTGTGCACTCTGCAAGGCCCGAGCAGAAAGATGGGCAAAGAGGCTGCTGTTCCCACAGGCATTCCCAAATGTCTCCTCCCATGGGAATAGCCCCAGAGCTCCAGGCCTCCCCTGATGCCCTCCCTGTTGCTTGCAGAGGACTGGCGGCTTGTTTGGCCAAGTTGACAGCTTCCTGGAGCCCAGCAGCCCCCTGCAGCCACACGTGGCCAGCCAGAGGCCCCTTCAGTTCACAGAGGTGGGCAGCGAGGACCTTGATTCCCCTGTGTTCCTCGATGACTTCCCTCAGGAAGGCAACACCAATGTCAACAACGCCAACAGAAACAGCTGGCTGCAGGGGTAAGGGCTGGGGAGCCTTGTGTGGGCAGAGCTGGGCTGTGCCTGGCAGTTCCCCGAGGGGCTGTGCTCAGTGTTGGTCTTACCCAGGGTTCTCCACAGATGGTGAAGGTCTGAAGAAGTTTCTGAGTTGCAGGTTGGGGGAGGAATTAACTGCTGGCATAGAAGTGGCTCCATGGACACAGCAGCTTTGTGCTCACAGCCCTTGGGGTGTGAACCAGGGTCCAGGCAAGGGGACAGGAAGAGCAGGCACCCTTTGCTGGTTCCTGTACCCCAGCCTGGCACACCTAGAGGTGTCCCCAGAACATACAGAGTAGCTCCAGGGCTGGTGTAGCATGTCAGCATGTGTGACTTCCTATGTACCCTTGCCCTTCCCATCACCCCGTGTTGGTGCCAGGAGGGTCCAGGTGGACAGCAAGGCTCCAGGGATCACAGAAATGACCCTTCCCACCAATCTCTGAGTGCCAAAGCTCAGGTAGGGGCCACCAGCACCAGCCTGGCCACAGGTACAAGGGACAGGGCTTATCCTACTTCTTGGAATCTCTACATGGTTCTTCTGTCCCAGATGCCCCCACAGTTGCATTTCCCAGGGTGGAGAAGGTGGGGAGAGCTGCACCCTAGGGTGGAGCTGGGGTCGGTACATGGTTCCTGCTCAGGCTGACCCACTTGCTGCCCTTGCCAGGATGGAGTACGAGGATGAGGTGCTGAGGAGGACAGTGCCAGCAGCACCCAAGCATCCAGTGCAGGGTGAGTTTCAGCATCGTTCCTCTTCTGGGGAATCTGGATTAGCCCAAGGGCCAGGGTAGGGGATGATGGCAGCAGACCCCAACAACTTGGAGGTTAGCTGAGAGGCCCAAGCACAGCAAGACCTCCCTGGGGAGCTGCATCAGACCCTCCTTCCACCTTTCCACCCTCCAGGGTGACAGAATATGGAGCCAGTGCTTGGGCTGGGGGAGGACTGGCCACCCCTGGGCAGCAGGGCCACAAGATTGTCTTCGTTTTCACAAACAGGGACTTCTCCTTCCCAACCATAAGGAGCCAGCAAAGGGCAGTGGGCAGGCGCTGGACTTCAATTCATCCTAAACTCCAAAAGCCCTTAGTTACTACATTCCCAGCTCTGGGTGGCAGTGGTGGTCTTGTTCTTGTGCCCATCTGATATCCCCTCCTTTCCCTCTCCCAGAGTGCAACCACCCCTCACCCATGGAAAAGCTGCAGCGGAGACCAAGCAGGAGGCGAGGAGAGGCCACCTCTGGGAGCCACCCATCATCAGGCCTGCACTTTCTCCCGCAGGAGGTAAAGGGGACAATGTATATCCACAGACAGCAATGGGGACATGGATGAACATCCCTCCTCTCCCGTGAAAGGTTGTCACAGATGTGCTGGGGAGGAGCTGCTCTCTAGGGCTCCCCACCATGGAACCAGCTTTGCTGGAGCTTTCCTTTCTCACTAGCATTGGGAAGGAGCTGGGCCCCCACCACAGGGTGCTCATCCAAGCAGAGACAGCTTAAAGCAGCATCTCTTGGCTGCTCCAGAGCCAGGGAGAAAAAGGGGGTGCATCAGGTTTGCTCCCACGCTGCCCTAACTGCCCTTGGCTGGTGTGGGAGTGTGTGTTCGGGCTGGGAACAATATCTACAGCCCCCCCCATGAACATGAGAGAGATCTTCCATGGGCATTGTCCAAGCCCAGGCTGCAGCTGTTTGCTCTTCTCACCCAGCAGCCCGGAGAGGATGGCACAGTGACGGGAGCGGCATCCAGCTCAGAGCACCAGTGGGGTGAAAGCAGTGACCTGAGTGCATCCTCCACCCCCGCCATCACCTTCCTCATCCAGGAGGTAAGGCAGGGGCAGTGGGAAAGGCAGGGATGAAAGGGACTGGCAGGGGTGCCATGCTCATACCAAGCTGGGAGGTTGCAGGAGCAAAGCTTAGCTATGAGGGTGAGCACAGAGGGCAGCAAGCACATGAGGTGAGGGTGGGTTGTGTGCAGCCAGGGCACCTCTACAGACTGAGAACACATCAGGCTCTGATCCTATCCTCTGCTGCAGGCTCTGATCTCCGGGGGCCTCACAGCTCTGGCCCATGACCCAACCTTTGTAGCAGTGACGAGGGCCGAGATGGCAGCCAGCAGCCAACTGGAGGTGGATGAAGTGGAGAAAGCAGCTGTGGAACTCCTAAAGGGAAGAGAAACACTTCAGGGTACAAAAGCTAGCTCTGCCCCTCAGGGCACCTCAGTCACATCAGCAGCCAGCTCCCCAGGGCTCAAAGCAGCCCCTTCCCAAAAGACCATTGCTGCCACTCACCTGTGATCCACAAGCACACATGGTCCCTTTGGAAGCTTGCAGGGGGTTATTGGAGCAATGCCACACTGCTCCCCCTCTGCCTGGGGTCCCGGTGGGCTCTGTCCAGCTGCAGGAGGATTTTGGGGCCGGGTGTCCAGGTTGCTGGTGCAGGACAGGACAATACTGTACCAGCAGGGTCTTGCAAGAGCTGGACAGGTCATTAAAGTGTTCCTGCTGCGTGACTCCGTGGATCCCCCTTGTCCCCTCCTTCTTCAGCCACCTTGCCTGTACAGCCTGTGCCTAGCCTGTGCCTAGCCCTGACTGGGAAGGGGAGCTCCAAATGTGAGAACCAGAGCTGGCAGCAATTCATGGGGCAGCCTCCAGTCCCCATGTGCAGGGAGGTCTGTCCCTACTCCAAAGTGCTCATGTCATGACTGTCAACAAGGCATTTTGAGAGCAGTAGCAAGCTCTGGAAGAGTCTCATGGTATCTCAGCAGCGGGACCCAGCATCCTTATGTCCCTGCTGGAGCCTGTTTCTCCTCCTTGCAGCCAAGGAGGACTTGGGCAGATGCTGGAAGCATCTTCCAGGCAGGAAGCCCAGGGGGCTTCTTGACAGTCCCCCAGCTGGGCAGAGGCATAAGAGCATGTCCAGGTCAGTGCAGCAGCCCTGGGTCTAACCAAGGGGAGAGTTGGCCACTGCAGTGTGATTTGTGTCACCAGAGATCTCTGAACACCACTCTTGGGCTTGGGCACCCACTGATGAGCCCAGCCCACAGGAGGGTCTCACTCATCTTCCGGACAACTCCACTGCTTTGCAAGGGACAGGCCAGAGGTGCCAAGAGGAGCACAGCACTTGTCCAGCACTGCCTACACACTGTCCATTATGTCTGTTAGCAAGTAGCAACTGAGGTTATTTCTCTCCGGGAATAAGTCTGCCATGGGGTTTTGCTTTACAGACCTCAGTGGCCCAGGCACTGAGCACTGGGGCAGCCCCATCTCCCCAGGCCATCTCTTTGCTGGGATCTTGCTCTAGAGGTTCCCCATCCCAGCCAAACTGGGAAATGCATGTCTCTTTCTTGCCTAATATATATTAAAATGCAGCAAAGCGATGAGTCCTGGGGGAGGTGTGAATAAATGGAGCCTGCCTGCTTTCCAGCAGGGCATTTATTTGTTAACTTAATAAAAGGGAAATGGCTGTTGCTGAGCTCCAGCTGCAGCCTGAGCGCCGGAGAGCCCATCTTGTGCAGGGAACATGGCAAGGCTGAGAGCTTTCCCCTGAGGGGATCCAGGCAATCAGCAGGGATAGGGTAGAAGTAGCCCATATGGGGCTATTAAAGGGTGAGAGGGTCCTGCTGATCACTCCTGACTCTCCAGTCTGCAGATCAGCTGATGGATGGGAATCAGGGAGTCCCGGTTGGTGCGATATTGCCGCCGGTGCACTGTTGTGGTCGCGATTGGTACTTGTTGTTCTTTGACCTTCAGCAGCCCCACAACAGAAGGATCCTCTGAGAGACCAGGCAAGGTGGACAGCTGCTCAATTTCCTCAGTCTCCAAAGCAGCAATACCAAAGGCCTATCGGTACCCTTTTGGGTCTTTGAAGTACCCTCTCCTGAGGTAGTCTATGCCAAGGATGCATGGAGCATCTGGACCAGCCACAGTGGGGTGCTTTTGCCATTTCCTCCCAGTCAGGCTGATTTCAGCCTCCGGTACAGTTAACTGTTGGGATCCTCCTGTCACTCCAGACATACAAATGGGTTCCACCCCTTGACAGCTTGATGGCATCAGGTTACACTGTGTACTGGTATCTACCAGAACCTTGTACTTCTGTGGTACTGATGTGCCAGGCCATCTGATCCACACAGTCCAGTAAATCCGATTGTCCCTCTCCTCCACCTGGCTGGAGGCAGGGCCCCTCTAATAGTCATCATAAGATTCTCCACTTATGTCTTGTAGAAAGGGATTAGAATTCCTTATCACAGGAGCTGGAGTAAAAGCAGCTCTTCCACTCCGTCTGGGAAGCTGCTCACTGAAGAATGGAGCAGCAGCTTTCATAGGATGATCATCCTCGACCTTTGTTCTCCTCTTCAATTCACACACCCATTCCTCCAAAGCTGAGGTAGGTTTTCCATCCGACTTTCTCATGCCTTCTCCACGATCCTGCAGGGAAAAGCCATAGGGTGGCCTGTGGCATGTACCTCCTGTATCTTTTCTTTTGGGCAATAGGGTGCTTTCTGCTAATAGCTGAGATGGGGGTTGGTACATGTGGGGAGCTGGATAGATCGGACAGATCATCTCTCAATTGTTTGAACTCCTGGGACAGTTTTTCCACAGCTGAAATGATGGAAGGGGTGAGATTGTCTTTCCAAGGCAGGCGGTTGCTCTCCAAGGATTCCAAACACAGGGTGTGACACTATGGTGGGGACACACAGCAGTGACGGGGCAGTTTCTCTGCACCCTCTACTGGGGCTTGGAGCTGCACTGCGGCTGATTTGCCCCAGACTGGGATCTGGAGGGTGTTTCTTGAATTAATTCCTAGCTGAAGTGTGGGACAGATATGTTTTGTGACACAGCTGGCACAAGGGTGGGAGTAGGAAGATAAGGCCAGAAACACCATGCCATGATAAGCGGCTCTCTCTGCCTGGAGCCTTGATGGGGAAGGATCCTGAGCTGCTCTTCGGTACAGCCTTATAGAGCCCTGGCACAGCCCTGGTACAGCCCCAGTATGGGCCAGAACAGTCTGGTACAGCCCTATACAGCTCAGTACAGGCTGGAACACCCTGGAACAACCCCAGGATGGTCTGAAACATCCTGGCACACACACAGTATGGCACAGTACTGCCTTGTACAGCCCAGAACACCCCGGCACACCCCTGTACAGTCTGGTACAGCCCTGACACAGCCCCATAGCCCAGCACACCCCCAGTACTGCTCGGTACAGCCCTGAACAGTCCTGTAGTGCCCAGGACATCCCTGAAACAGCCCAGTACAGCTCTGCACAGCCTGGAATGCCCTGGCACAGCCCCGGTACTGCCCGGAACACGTTGGCACAGCCCCGGTACGGCCCGGCACAGCCCGCCGCAGCGCTGTACAGCCCGAAGAGCCCTGCACGGCGCCGGTCCAGCCCTGCACAGCCGCGGTCCACCCGAGCAGGCCGGAGCCGGCAGGGGGAGCAGGGCCCGGCGGGTGAGAGCGGTGAATGAGGCACAACGGGAGCGAGAGCGTGAGAGCGTGCGCGTGTGTGCGCGCGCTCGCACCGTTTCCCCGCGCGTCCGCGTTCCGGCGGGGGAAGGACGGGGGGGGGGGGGGGGGGCGTGTCCCCCCGCCCCGCCCCGCCCCGCACCTGGGGCCGCTCCCCCCCCGCCCCCCAGTCCCCAGCGCCGCGGATGCTGTCGGGCAGCGGCGGCCGCGGTGCCCGGCTCGCGGGGCCATGGCGGCTCCGGACAGCTGCGTGAAGGTGGCCGTGAGGTGAGTGCGGGGCTGCAGCTGCGTGTGCTCGGCGCGGGGGGGTTGCGGATGCCCGACTCGGTGCTGCCCAGCCCCCGGGCACTGAGTGTCCCCCATCGGAGTCGGGTTTTGCCTCCCCGGTCCCACCGTTATCCTCCCCGCTCCACATCGCTTTGGGGCTGCTGCTTGCCACCCCGCTGGCCGTGCCCTCTCAGCCCCTTTCCTGAGGCCGGGGGAGGGGGGGCGACCCAGGAGTCCCCGACCCCTTCACCTGCAGAGCTGCTGTCAGCGTTTGCAGCTCGGCAGCCCTGGGCTCTGTAGTGGGTGAATTTGGTCCCCTCTGGTGTCAGGAGAGATAAGGGAGATGTGGGGGGGTTCCTTCCTCCCCTCCCCGAGGTGTTAGGGAACGATGCGGCATCTCTGTGTCCTTTGTGCTGACTTTGGGCTGGGAACAATGCGCCTTCCGTATCGTGCACCTCGATGAAGGACATGCCGGCAGCACCTCCTTCACGCGTGGGCTCGGAGGGCAGCTTGGGGGGCGGGGGAGGCAGCTCACGCATCGCCTGCAGAGCCCCACGGGCTGTGCGGGAGACCGGGGGGACTCTTTGTTAGCGCCGTGCCAGGCTCGGTGTATTGTGCGCACAGCCGCTGGGGTCCCGCAGACCGGCGGCGTTTTGCTCCTCTCTGCCCCAAGGGGTAGGAGCCCCCGGGGAGAAGGAGGGGTGGGCGAACCCATGGGAGAGGGGGCCCCGTCACGGCCTTCTTGAGGAAGGGACCGTGCAGCTTCCCCTGCTCTCACCGCGCCTGGTCCTGGTTCAGCCGCTTCTTCCGGACAAGCGTGAGCCGAGCCCAGCCCGGCCTCGGCACCCAGGACCCAGAGCACGGTGTCGGCGTGGGGCTGGCCGGGGGCAGGACCGCGTCAGAGCGGGGTCTCGGCTCGGTAGGACCAGCTCCACACCGTTACACCGACCTCCCCCCCCCTCCCGCCGGGCTGTGCCTGCCTTGTCCCGCACCTTGGGGCTGGGGGTGACCTGGGCAGGACCCTGTCCCCTCACCCACACCCCTGATGGCATGAGGCAGATTGGGGTGCTGCTGGCAGGCTGCAGGGGGCTGCCTTAGTCCTCAGAGGAGGATTTGCAGATTCTTGGACCTGCCTACATGGGTAGAGCGAGAGCACAAAAGATGCTGGGTGCAGCATCAGTGATGGAGGCAGGGAGAGATGGGTGTGTGCGTGTGCATGTCTCTGTGTGTGCATGCATGTTTGCATGTCTGTTTGCCTGTGCACACGTGTGTGTGCACCAGGATGCATCCCAGGGCTGCCTGCCTGTCCAGTCTTCCTTGTCTTGGAAGCAGGTGGTGGTTATTTTCTTCCTTGCTCCATTCAAGAGGCTGAGAATCAGGGCCAGGCTGTGGGTTTGAAGGATGGGAGAGCTGCAGGGGAGGTGGCAGTGTCCCCATTGTGTGGCTGCTGCTGGGGTGCCTTTGCAAGGGGAGGGCTGGGCTGTGCCAAGGCAAGGGTGTCCATGCCAGGACACTGACCTAGGAACTGAGTGATGCCAATGGCAGGAGGTGGAGATTTCCTGCTGGCCAGACTCTTCCTATCTTCCATCCTGCATTTCTGTCAGGATGAAGCCTTTTAACAAAGGCCTGGCTCAAGGCCGGGGTTCCTTTTGCCTGGGAGATGGGGTGGGTGCTGCTGGGCATGGTGGCCGTGGAGACTCTTGCCTCCTGATCCCTTTGGCCTCTGCCAGCAATGAGGTCAAGGACTGCCCAGTACACCGGGAGCGGATCATGACCAGGAGGTGACTTCAGTATGCAGCATTGCAGTGGGGCTGGGGTGCCCATAGCGAGGATATGTAACGGGGGGCACACCCCACTCTCTCCCACCCATTCCTTGAATGAATGAGCTGGTATCCTGCAGCCGGTGTGTGCCGAGTACTGGGGCGATGCATTGGCAAAGGTGAACCAGCAGGACAAAGGAGGAGGGCTGGGAACAGGGAGGCTGCAGACAAAGCAGGCAGGTCGCAGCATCACGTGGGAAGGTGGCATCGGATGCTGGGCTGAGTGTGCAAGGACCAAGCTGCTCTCCCTGCGGGTCACCCCACCCAAAGGGCTGGTGATGGGTCCCCTCCTGCCCTGGACTAGGAGCAGAGAGAGGTTTTCCTTTGTGAGAGCTTGTGACATACCACTGGTGGTGTTGTGGAAGTCTCCAAGACACACACCCCCCCCCTCCCAGCAAACCTGTCCACAGATTCCACCTCCTTCCGCCATCAGAGCATGAAGGAGGTTGAATGCCTCCAAGGTGAGGCACGACACGGATCGAAGCTCCCCTTTTGTTTCTTTATAATAACATGAACGTGCCAGCTTGTGCCATTTTTCATGGTCTCTGTGTCCATGCTGCTGGTGGAACCTGGGAAAGGGCTGGGGACACTTGGAAGCACTGGGGGCTTTCGAGGGAGGTGTGCTGCTGGAGTTAAGCAGCTGGGTGATAGGGACGGCCCAGCTGATGTCAAGACACTGGGACCTGTCTCGGGTCCTCACAAGCGCTGACAGGATGGGAGGAGCCGGGACAGAGGAGCAGAGTGGTGGGACTGTGTTGTCCTTCTGGGTTCTTGTTGTTCTTGCTGGTTCTCTTCACCTGACAGGAGAGATGCTGTGGCATTTCACTGTCAGCTTCCAGGTTCCCATCTTCTCCTTGGGAAGACCCCCAGCTGCCCCCCTGTGGCTCTGAGTGCTGAGCCAGTGACTGGGGCATGGGGATGTTATTTAGGCTTCCTGCATGCCAGGAGTGAAACGGCCAGTACCAGCCCTGCAGAGGGAAATGCAGGCCCAGGGGCTGGTATCTGCACCTTGTACCTTCAGCTCAGCCTGCACCTTCTGCAGGGGCAGGGCTGGCTCCTGCCCCAGCTCCCACCCTCCCTGCAGGCAAGTCCTGCCTTCACTTGCCCATCAGCACTAACAGGAGAGTGCCTGAGCCTGCCATCTCTGGCTGATGCAGCCAGGGAGCGGAAGCGATGGGGCCAAGCTGTCAGCAGCGCTTGGGTTGAGCGCCCTGCACCCTGTAATGGTCCCAGGCTGGGAGCTGAGTGGGGTGGCCCAGGAACCCTCACTCCTTGCAGCTTTGGGGGGGAAGGTTCCTTCATGGACTGGGGAAGGCAATGAGTGCTGTGTCCTTCTGTAGGTGACCTTCAAATGGGTGAAGGAGTTTGGCAGTTCTGCTCTCATGCCCTGCTTCCAGGAGCACGGCATCTATTGGAGGCTTGTGCTTCCCGTTGGGCCTCAGCAGCACCCCTCCCTGCAGCACCCAGGCTCAAAGCACCCCTCCCTGCAGCACCTAGCTCAGAGCACCCCTCCCTGCAGCACCCAGGCTAGCAGTTGGGTGCTGTCTGCTCACAGCCGCAGCGAGCTGGGGGGAGCCGTGCTCCCTGTGCTCATTGCAGGAGGTGGAGCTCAGCCCCATTGTGAGTGGGTGGTTTTGCTGTGTCAGGAAGGCTGATGGTATTGACCCAGAGGCCATTAAACTCCATCACCAGGGGAGGTCTGAGGAGCCGGACTGGCTGCAGAGCTGATACCTGAGGACACTTTCAAACCATAGAGAAAGAGGCACCCCCGAAGCTGTCTGCAGCACCCAGCACGTCTGCCTGGCTGCGGAGACTCAGGAAACAGAGCTTGTGAAATTGGGGAAGGAAGTTGAGTCGGATTTCAAGTTTATTTAAACCCTGCATCCCCCAGTGCTCTGCTGCTCTCATAAACACTCCTGCCACGATGCTCTTCCACATGGGCAGCCCCGCTGCTGTCCTGTGGAGTTTCTCCCACCTCCTTCTTGGAAAGAAGGATGCGATGTGCCACTTTAGGATGGGACATACTCGCATGCCCATTGCCACGTGCCCTAGTGGGTCTTGGCTCAGTGGGAACATGCTGGCAAAGGCCATGTGCTGGAAACAGCATTCTGGCATCTTTGCTGTCACATAGCCGGGGCCTATATCCTTATATCTAACCTGAACTTCCCCTGTTTCAGTTTGAACCCATCACCCCTTGTCCTATCACTGCAGTCCCTGATGAAGAGTCCCTCTCCAGCATCCTTGTAGCCCCCTTCAGACACCGGAAGCTGCTCTGAGGTCTCCATGCAGCTTCTCTTCTCCAGGCTGAACAGCCCCAGTGTTCTCAGCCTGGCTCCATACAGGAGGTGCTCCAGCCCCTGAGCATCCTCGTGGCCTCCTCTGGACTTGCTCCAACAGCTCCATGTGTTCTGGGGTGCTGCAAGTGGGGTCTCACAAGAGCAGAGTCCTCTGCCTCCCCCCAGGGCAGCTCAGCCCTAGCAGTGGGGGTCTCCCATGTCCTGTGGCTGCTCTTTGGTTTACTTTGGGGCTTCTCAGCCCGAGAGATTGGGAACCAAGAGTTAGTCTTGGCTCCCAGTGGGAATGGTTAAACTGGGCTCCCTGATCTGGAGGGAGATGTGGAGGGCTGTGGTGGGTAGGACGCCTCAGGGTCTCTGAGGGAAGTGCTGAGCCCAGGTTTGTGGGCACAAAGGGTTTTTCTGTGCCTGGCTTCAATCAGTCGTGAGCTCACTGGCTTTTACAGTGGGAATGTTAGAAAGGGGTTGGAGACCACCTTCATCCTGGTCTCCATCCTCCAAGGGAGGAGTAGGGCTGCACCCTGCAGTCCCAGGCAGATCTGCTGTTGCCTGAGACACCACTCGGAGCAAGGCAGCTTTAGACATCACCCATCATCAAGGGATTTAAATATGTGATGCCATGAAGTCTCAGGAACTTGGGATGCTGGGGCTGTCTCTAAGCCCGAGGAAGGAGCCAGCTGAAGCTTTCCTGCACCAGCAGTGAAATTGGGGCAGGAGGAAAACTGCAGGAGATGAAGCCCCAAACAAAGCTGTTGGGAACATGTCTCCTGGTCCCCCGAGAGGGAAGGTGATCCTCTGCTGAGTCTTGTTGTGCTGTTCCTGCTGGGAAAGGGGGGCTGGCCCTAGGGGTCCCAGGGGTCTGTTTCCTGCCAGAGGCTGTCAAAAC